TGGGGTGTTATTGGGGTCCCTAGGGGGGTTGTTGGGGTCCTAGAGGGGATTGTTGGGGTCCCCTAAGTGGGTGTTGGGGTCCCTGGAATCACAGCACCATGGCCAGGCCGGGGACAGCGGCCTCAAAACCCTGCAGGATGCGCCGAGCCTCGTCCACGTTACCTGGGATAGGAGAAATGGGGTTATTGGGGTCCCTGGGGGTTATTAGTCCTGGGGTTATTGGGGTCCCTGGAATCACAGCACCATGGCCAGGCCGGGGACAGCCAGCTCGAAACCCTGCAGGATGCGCCGAGCCTCGTCCACGTTACCTGAGGGTAGGGAAAAAATGGGGAAAAAATGGGGTTATTGGGGTCCCTAAATGGGTATGGGGTCCCTGGAATCACAGCACCATGGCCAGGCCGGGGACAACCTGCTCAAAACCATGGAGGATGCGCCGAGCCTCGTCCACGTTACCTGGGATAGGGAAAAAATGGGGAAAAAAAGGGGTTATTGGGGTCCCTGGGGGGGTTATTGGGGTCCCTGGAATCACAGCACCATGGCCAGGCCGGGGACAGCCAGCTCGAACCCCTGCAGGATGCGCCGAGCCTCCTCCACGTTACCTGAGATAAAAAAAGGGGGAAAAAAGGGGTTATTGGGGTCCCTGGGGGGTTCTGGGCGCTCCAGGCTCACCCTGCGCAGCCTCACCATGGCCAGGCCGGGGACAGCCAGCTCGAAACCCTGCAGGATGCGCCGAGCCTCCTCCACGTTACCTGGGATAGGGAAAAATGGGGAAAAAATGGGGTTATTGGGGTCCCTGGGGGGGTTATTGGGGTCCCTGGAATCACAGCACCATGGCCAGGCCGGGGACAGCGAGCTCAAAACCATGGAGGATGCGCCGAGCCTCGTCCACGTTACCTGGGATAGGAGAAAAATGGGGTTATTGGGGTCCCTAAATGGGTATGGGGGTCCCTGGAATCACAGCACCATGGCCAGGCCGGGGACAACCTGCTCAAACCCATGGAGGATGCGCCGAGCCTCGTCCACGTTACCTGAGAGTAAAAAAATGGGGGAAAAATGGGGTTATTGGGGTCCTGGGGGAGTTATTGGGGTCCCTGGGGGGTTATTGGGGTCCCTGGGGGGGTTATTGGGGTCCCTGGAATCACAGCACCATGGCCAGGCCGGGAACAGCCAGCTCAAAACCATGCAGGATGCGCCGAGCCTCGTCCACGTTACCTGGGATAGGGAAATGGGGAAAAAAGGGGGAAAAAAGGGGAAAAAATGGGGTTATTGGGGTCCCTAAATGGGTATGGGGGTCCCTGGAATCCCAGAACCATGGCCAGGCCCGGCACAGCCAGCTCAAACCCCTGCAGGATGCGCCTCCTCCACATTACCTGGGATTTTTTGGGGTCCCATCCCAGACTTCGGGTCTCCCCTGGGATTTTCTGGGTCCCCATCCTGGATTTTGGGGTTCCCCTGGGATTTTCTGGGTCCCCATCCCAGATTTCAGGGCTCCCCTGGGATGTTTTGGGGGGCCCATCCCAGATTTTCAGGTTCCTCTGGGATTTTTTGGGTCCCATCCCAGATTTCAGGGCTCCCCTGGGATTTTCCGGGTCCCATCCCGGATTTCGGGGCTCCCCTGGGATTTTTTGGGGGTCCCATCCCAGATTTCGGGGCTCCCCCTGGGATTTTTTGGGGTCCCCATCCCAGATTTTGGGGACCCCCTGGGATTTTCTGGGTCCCATCCCAGATTTTTGGGCTCCCCTGGGATTTTCTGGGTCCCCACCCCAGATTTTGGGGCTCCCCTGGGATTTTTTGGGGGTCCCATCCGATTTTGGGGCTCCCCTGGGATTTTTTGGGGTCCCCATCCCAGATTTCGGGTCCGCCCTGACCTTGTTTCTCCTCGAAGGCCGCCCAGAGCAGGTGGATGTTGGGTTTTCGGGGCAGGTGGAACCCGCAGGCTCTCTGGAAGACGCTGCGGGCGCCGGGCACGGTCCGGGACTCCAAATATCGTGTGTACTGAGCAGGGAAATGGGGGAAACTGAGGGGAAAATGGGGGAAAATGGGGGGAAAATGAGGGGAAAATGGGGGGAAAATGAGGGAAAATGGGGGGGAAAATGAGGGGAAAATGGGGGAAAATGAGGGAAAATGGGGACAAAATGGGGGAAATGAGGGGGAAAAATGGGGGAAAATGGGGAGAAAATGGGGGAAATGGGGGAAAATGAGGGGAAAATGGGGGGAAATGGGGGGAAATGAGGGGGAAAATGGGGGAAATGGGGGAAAATGGGGGAAATGGGGGAAAATGGGGGAAAAATGGGGGAAAATGAGGGAAAATGGGGAAAAATGGGGAAAATGGGGGAAAATGAGGGGAAAATGGGGGAAATGGGGAAAATAGGGGGAAAATGGGGGGAAAAATGAGGGGAAAATGAGGGGAAAATGGGGGGAAAATGAAGGGAAAATGGGGGGAAAAATGAGAGGAAAAATGAGGGGAAATGGGGACAAAATGGGGGGGAAATGGGGGAAAATGAGGGGAAAATGAGAGGGAAAATGGGGGAAAATGAAGGGAAAATGGGGAGAAAAAATGAGAGGAAAAATGAGGGGAAATGGGGACAAAATGGGGGGGAAATGGGAGGGAAATGGGGAAAAATGGGGGAAAACAGGAGGAAATGTGGCAAAAAGGGGGGAAATAAGGGGAAATGGGGACAAAATGGGGGAAAAGGGGGAAATGGGGAAAAAAAGAGGGAAAATGGGGGGAAATGGGGGGGAAAATGAGGAAAAAAAGCAGAAAAAATGAGGAAAAAAAGCAGAAAAAATGAGATAAAAAAGCAGGAAAAATGGGGAAAAAGGCAGGAAAAATGGGGAAAAAAGGCAGGAAAAATGAGATAAAAAAGCAGGAAAAAGGGGGAAAAAGGGGGAAAAAGGAATAAAAAGTGGGGGAAGTGGCGGGACCGGGGGCACCTTGATCCAGAACTCCTCGTAGAGGGCGCAGGCGATGACGCAGCGCTCGAAGAGCACGATCGTGCGCTCGTGGTTCCCCGAGGCCACCTCGAAGTCCAGGTACTCGCGCCAGTTCCGCAGCTGAGCCCGCTCCAGCGGCTTCACGTGGAAATAGGGACGTTTGATCTGGAATTGGGGGGATTTGGGGGGTCAAAATCCCAAATGGGGGGGTCACAATCCCAAATAAATCCAGGTACTCGCGCCAGTTCCGCAGCTGAGCCCGCTCCAGCGGCTTCACGTGGAAATAGGGACGCTTGATCTGGAATTGGGGGGTTTGGGGGGTTTGGGGAGTCACAATCCCAAATAGGGCGCTGATCTGGAATTGGGGGTTTGGGGGGTCAAAATCCCAAATTAGGGGGTGTTTGGGGGTCACAATCCCAAATAGGGGGTTTGGGGGTCACAATCCCAAATAGGGCCGTTTGATCTGAAATTGGGGGATTTGGGGAGGTTTGGGGGTCAAACACAGGGTTTGGGGGTCACAATCCCAAATAGGGCCGCTTGATCTGAAATTTGGGGGGGTTTGGGGGTCGCAATCCCAAATAGGGGCGCTGATCTGAAATTGGGGGGTTTGGGGGGTCAGATGGGGGGATTGGGGGGGGTCAAGCCCAGTTTTCCCCCCCAGATGGGATTTTTGGGGGGATTTGATCCCAGTTCTGCCCCCAGGGGGGTCAAGCCCAGCCCTACCCCTTTCCAGATGGGATTTTTGGGGGGATTTGATCCCAATTCTCCCCCCAGGGGGGTCGAGCCCAGCTCCACCCTGTTCCAGGTGGGATTTTGGGGGGATTTGAGCCCAATTTTCCCCCCAGGGGTTTCAAGCCCAGCTCTACCCTGTTCCAGGGGGGATTTTGGGGGGATTTGAGCCCAGTTTTCCCCCCCTAGGTGGGATTTTTGGGGGGGATTTGAGCCCAGTTTCCCCCCCCAGAGAGGATTTAAGCCCAGTTTTTTCCCCCAGATGGGATTTTGGGGGGATTTGAGCCCAATTCTCCCCCCAGGGGGGTCAAGGCCAGTTCTACCCCATTCCAGATGGGATTTTGGGGGGATTTGAGCCCAGTTCTCCCCCCAGGGGGGATTTTTGGGGGGGATTTGAGCCCAGTTCTCCCCCCAGGGAGAATTTAAGCCCAGTTTCTCCCCCCTAGATGGGATTTTTGGGGGGATTTGAGCCCAGTTCTCCCCCCAGGGGGGTCGAGCCCAGCCCTACCCACCCCGTCCTCGAAGTTCCAGCGCTTTCCGACCTCGGCCTCGTTCTGGGCGTGGATTTGCTGCCTCATGGAAATCACGAGCTCCCGGATCTTCTCCTGGTCCAGCTCCTCCTGCAGGGGCAGGGACGGGCTGGGAGGAGGGGGGGACACGGGGAGAGACCCCCCAGAAACGAGGGGGACACCCAGAACCCCCCGAAACGGGGGGAAGGGGGATTTACCCACCCAAAAAAATTAAAAAAGAAAGATTTACCCCCAAAAAACCTACCCTAAAATGGGGGGAAAAAAGGGATTTAACCCCCAGAAAACCTCCCCTAAGAGGGGGATTCACCCACCCCAAAAAACCCCCTAAAATGGGGAAAAAGGGGGATTTACCCATCCCAAAAATGCTAAAAAAGGGAAGATTTAACCCCCCAAAAACCTCCCCTAAAATGGGAAAAAAAGGGATTTAACCCCCAGAAAACCTCCCCTAAAAGAGGGAAAAAGGGGGATTTACCAACCCTAAAAACCCTAAAAAAAGGAAAATTTAACCCCCCAGAAAATCTCTCCTAAAATGGGAAAAAAAGGATTTAACCCCCAGAAAACTCCCCCTAAAATGGAAAAAAAAAGGGATTTAACCCCCAGAAAACCTCTCCTAAGAGGGGGATTTACCCACCCCAAACCCCCTAACCTGCAGGATAAGGGGATTGTCCACCTCAGGGATACCTGAGCCCCCAGCATCCCCCCTACCCCAGGGGTACCTAGAGCTCTCCAGGGGCACCTGAGTCCCCCAGCCCCAGGGCACCTGAGCCCCCAGCTCCCCAGGGGTACCTGAGCCCCTGGCCCCCAGCCGCCCCCAGGGGTACCTGAGCCCCCAGCCCCCAGGGGTACCTGAGCCCCAGGGCACCTGAGCCCCCAGCCCCTCCAGGGTACCTGAGCCCCTGGCCCCCAGGGGCACCTGAGCCCCCCCAGCCCCCAGGGGTACCTGAGCCCCCCATCCCCAGGGGCACCTGAGCCCCCAGCCCCCCATCCTCCAGGGGTACCTGAGCCCCAGGGGTAGCCTGAGCCCCCAGCCCCAGGAGCACCTGAGTCCCCCAGCCCCCAGCCCAGGGTACCTGAGCCCCCCATCCCCTGGGTACCTGAGTCCCCAGCCCCCAGCCCCCAGGGGTGCCTGAGCCCCCATCCCCCCAGGGTGCCTGAGCCCCAGCCCCAGGGGTACCTGAGCCCCCAGCCCCTCCCAGGGGTACCTGAGCCCCCAGCCTCCAGGGTGCCTGAGCCCCCAGCCCCCCATCCCCCAGGGGTACCTGAGCCCCCCAGCCCCCCCAGGGGTACCTGAGCCCCCGAGCCCCCCAGGGGTACCTGAGCTCCCAGGGGTATCTGAGCCCCAGCCTCCCAGGGTATCTGAGCCCCCCAGCCCCCGAGGCACCTGAGCCCCCATCCCCCAGGGGTACCTGAGCCCCCAGGGGTACCTGAGCCCCCATCCCCCCATCCCCCAGGGGTACCTGAGCCCCCTGGCCCCCAGCCCCTCCCAGGGGTACCTGAGCCCCCAGCCCCCCAGCCCCCAGGGGTACCTGAGCCCCCAGCCCCCCAGGGGTACCTGAGCCCCCAGCCCTCCCAGGGGTACCTGAGCCCCCAGCCCCCCAGCCCCCCAGGGGATACCTGAGCTCCCCATCCTCCCAGGGGTACCTGAGCTCCCAGGGTACCTGAGCCCCCATCCCCAGGGGTACCTGAGCTCCCAGGGTACCTGAGCCCCCAGCCCCCCATCCCCCAGCCCCAGGGATACCTGAGCCCCCAGCCCCCCCATCCCCCATCCCCAGGGCACCTGAGCCCCCAGGGGTACCTGAGCCCCCCAGCCCCCCATCCCCCAGCCCCCAGGGGTACCTGAGCCCCCCATCTCCCCAGGGGTACCTGAGCCCCCCACCCCCAGGGGGTACCTGAGCTCCCAGGGTACCTGAGCCCCCCATCCCCCAGGGGTACCTGAGCCCCCAGGGGTACCTGAGCCCCCAGCCCCCATCCCCCAGCCCCAGGGTACCTGAGCCCCCCATCCCCCCAGGGGTACCTGAGCCCCCCAGCCCCCTTTGCCGTCCGTGCTGGGGCTCCTCCCGGGGTCCCTCAGTGCCCTCGGGCTCGGGGGGCTTCGGGGGGGGCTCCGTGGCCAGCTTGGACTGCACCCACAGCAGCTCCTCGGGGGACAGGATGGCCCGGGGGGGGTTGTGCAGGACGTGCTCCTTGAACCTGGGGGAATTCCAAAAATTCCAAGGGTGGACTCGGGGCACAGCCTCAATTGCCCCCTCCCCCCCAAAAAAAACCAGCCCCTGCTCCTTTCCCCCCAAAAAAAATCCTTTCCCCCCCAAAAAAAAACAGCCCCTGCCTCTTTTCCCCCCCAAAAAAACAGCCCTTGTGCCTTTCCCCCAAAAATATCCCCTGCCCCTTTCCCCTAAAAAATCCCTGTCCCTTTCCCCAAAAATCCCTTCCCCAAAAAAACATCCCCTGCCCTTTCCCCCCAAAATCCCTTCCCCACAAAAACATCCCCTGTCCCTTTTCCCCTAAAAATCCCTGCCTCTTCCCCCCAAAAACTGCCCCTGTCCCATTTTCCCCCAAAAATATTCCTTGCTCTTTTTCCTCCCCAAAAACACCCCCTGCTCCTTTCCCCCCAAAATCCTTTCCTCCCAAAAAACCAGCCCCTGTCCCTTCCCCCAAAAACACCCTGACCCTTTTCCCCCAAAAAATATTCCTTGCTCTTTTCCCCCCCAAAAAAAATCCCCTGCCCTTTCCCCCCCCAAAAAACCCATCCCCTGCCCCTTTCCTGTTGTTATCACCAAAAATCTACACATTTACAGCCAAATCTGCCCATTTCCACCCAAATCTGCCCATTTCCATCCAAAACAAAGCCCATTTCCATCCAACTTCCCCCATTTCCACCCAAAACAAAGTCCAATTCCAGCTAAATCTGCTCATTTCCAGCCAAATCCTTCCATTTCCATCCAAACCCACCCATTTCCATCCCAAACCCATCCATTTCTATCCAAACCCACCCATTTCCATCCAAAAAAACCTGAATTTTCCCCTCCCCCCGTGTTTTCCAGGCATGAATTTCCCTCTCCGTGGTCTTTCCCAGGAGCGAATCCCCATCCCAGGGACCCCAGGGAGGTTTCCCATCAGGAATCCCCCCATCCCAGGGACGTTTCCCAGAGCTGAATCCCTCTCCTGGGGTGTTTCCCTGCAGGAATTCCCTCTCCCAGGGCTGTTATCCCACGGGAATTCCATCACCTGTCCCAGTGGTGGCTGCAGAGCTGGGTGGGCATGGACAGCAGGGATGGAATTTGATGGAATTTCCCCCCCCAGGGCTGTTTCCCATCAGGAATTCCCCCTTCCCAAGGGATCACCTGTCCCAGTGGTGGCTGTAGAGCTGGGTGGGCATGGACAGCAGGAATCCCCCCCAACCCCAGGGATGTTTCCCATCAGGAATTCCCCCATCCCAGGGCTGTTATCCCACGGGAATTCCATCACCTGTCCCAGTGGTGGCTGTAGAGCTGGGTGGGCATGGACAGCAGGGATCCCCCCATCCCAGGGATGTTTCCCAGGTGGAATTCCCCCCCCCAGGATGTTTCCCAGGTGGAATTCCCTCTCCCAGGGATGTTTCCCATCAGGAATTCCCTCTCCCAGGGATGTTTCCCATCAGGAATTGGGGGTACCTGTCCCAGTGGTGGCTGTAGAGCTGGGTGGGCATGGACAGCAGGCGGTCGTAGATGGAATTTGATGGAATTTTTCCCCCCAGGGATGTTTCCCATCAGGAATCCCCACCCCAGGGATGTTTCCCAGGTGGAATCCCCCCATCCCAAGGCTGTTATCCCACAGGAATACCTGTCCCAGTGGTGGCTGTAGAGCTGGGTGGGCATGGACAGCAGGGATCCCCCCACCCCAGGGATGTTTCCCATCAGGAATTTCCCCCAGGATGTTTCCCATCAGGAATTCCCCCACCCCAGGGATGTTTCCCAGGTGGAATTTCTCCCCCCAGGGATGTTTCCCATCAGGAATTCCCTCTCCCAGGGATGTTTCCCATCAGGAATTGGGGGTACCTGTCCCAGTGGTGGCTGTAGAGCTGGGTGGGCATGGACAGCAGGGATCCCCCCACCCCAGGGATGTTTCCCAGGTGGAATTCCCCCCCCCAGGATGTTTCCCATCAGGAATTCCCTCTCCCAGGGCTGTTATCCCATGGGAATTCCATCACCTGTCCCAGTGGTGGCTGTAGAGCTGGGTGGGCATGGACAGCAGGAATCCCCCCCACCCCAGGGATGTTTCCCATCAGGAATCCCCACCCCAGGGATGTTTCCCATCAGGAATTCCCCTTCCCAAGGCTGTTATCCCACAGGAATTCCATCACCTGTCCCAGTGGTGGTTGTAGAGCTGGGTGGGCATGGACAGCAGGGATGGAATTTGATGGAATTTTTCCCCCCAGGGATGTTTCCCATCAGGAATTTCCCCCCCCAGGGATGTTTCCCATCAGGAATTCCCTCTCCCAGGGATGTTTCCCATCAGGAATTGGGGGTACCTGTCCCAGTGGTGGCTGTAGAGCTGGGTGGGCATGGACAGCAGGGATGGAATTTGATGGAATTTCCCCCCCCAGGGCTGTTTCCCATCAGGAATTCCCTCTCCCAGGGCTGTTATCCCACAGGAATTGGGGGTACCTGTCCCAGTGGTGGCTGTAGAGCTGGGTGGGCATGGACAGCAGGGATCCCCCCACCCCAGGGATGTTTCCCATCAGGAATTCCCCCTTCCCAAGGCTGTTATCCCATGGGAATTCCATCACCTGTCCCAGTGGTGGCTGTAGAGCTGGGTGGGCATGGACAGCAGGGATCCCCCCATCCCAGGGATGTTTCCCATCAGGAATTTCCCCCCCCAGGGATGTTTCCCATCAGGAATTGGGGGTACCTGTCCCAGTGGTGGCTGTAGAGCTGGGTGGGCATGGACAGCAGGCGGTCGTAGATGGAATTTGATGGAATTTTACCCCCCAGGGATGTTTCCCATCAGGAATTCCCCCTTCCCAAGGCTGTTATCCCACAGGAATACCTGTCCCAGTGGTGGCTGTAGAGCTGGGTGGGCATGGACAGCAGGGATCCCCCCACCCCAGGGATGTTTCCCAGGTGGAATTCCCCACCCCAGGGCTGTTTCCCATCAGGAATTCCCTCTCCCAGGGATGTTTCCCATCAGGAATTGGGGGTACCTGTCCCAGTGGTGGCTGTAGAGCTGGGTGGGCATGGACAGCAGGCGGTCGTAGATGGAATTTGATGGAATTTTTCCCCCCAGGGATGTTTCCCATCAGGAATTTCCCCCCCCAGGGATGTTTCCCATCAGGAATTCCCCCTTCCCAAGGGATCACCTGTCCCAGTGGTGGCTGTAGAGCTGGGTGGGCATGGACAGCAGGCGGTCGTAGATGGCGGTGACCGCCCGCAGCTCCCCCCGCTCCCGCTCCCACTCCACGTACAATTCCCAGAGCTTGTCCGAGCGGAAATCCATCCCTGCCGCCGCCACCGCCGCCTCGAACGCCCTGGGGGGCAGGGGGGGTCAGGGGGGAGGGCAAGGGGGGAGGGGAGAGCGGGGAGACCCCCCCAGAACCCCCCAGGACTCACCCGCGAACCTTCTGGACAGACTCGGGCTGGGCCATGTCCAGGGTGGACTGCAGGAAGGAGATGTAATGGATCCACAAATCCATGGATAACGGGATGGACTGCAGGCCACGCTCCAAAACCTGGGAAAATGGGATGGAATGGATCCATAAATCCATGGATAACGGGATGGACTGCAGGAAGGAGATGGAATGGATCCACAAATCCATGGATAACGGGATGGACTGCAGGAAGGAGATGTAATGGATCCATAAATCCATGGATAACGGGATGGACTGCAGGAAGGAGATGGAATGGATCCATAAATCCATGGATAACGGGATGGACTGCAGGAAGGAGAGGGAATGGATCCATAAATCCATGGATAACGGGATGGACTGCAGGAAGGAGAGGGAATGGATCCATAAATCCATGGATAACGGGATGGACTGCAGGAAGGAGATGGAATGGATCCATAAATCCATGGATAACGGGATGGACTGCAGGCCACGCTCCAAAACCTGCAGGAATAACAGGGAATGGATCCATAAATCCATGGATAACGGGATGGACTGCAGGAAGGAGATGGAATGGATCCATAAATCCATGGATAGCAGGATGGACTGCAGGAAGGAGATGTAATGGATCCATAAATCCATGGATAACGGGATGGACTGCAGGCCACGCTCCAAAACCTGCAGGAATAACAGGGAATGGATCCATAAATCCATGGATAACGGGATGGACTGCAGGAAGGAGATGTAATGGATCCATAAATCCATGGATAACGGGATGGACTGCAGGCCACGCTCCAAAACCTGGGAAAATGGGATGGAATGGATCCATAAATCCATGGATAACGGGATGGACTGCAGGAAGGAGATGGAATGGATCCAGAGATCCATGGATAACGGGATGGACTGCAGGCCACGCTCCAAAACCTGGGAAAATGGGATGGAATGGATCCATAAATCCATGGATAACGGGATGGACTGCAGGCCACGCTCCAAAACCTGGGAAAATGGGATGGAATGGATCCATAAATCCATGGATAACGGGATGGACTGCAGGAAGGAGATGGAATGGATCCATAAATCCATGGATAACGGGATGGACTGCAGGAAGGAGATGTAATGGATCCATAAATCCATGGATAACGGGATGGACTGCAGGCCACGCTCCAAAACCTGCAGGAATAACAGGGAATGGATCCATAAATCCATGGATAACGGGATGGACTGCAGGAAGGAGATGGAATGGATCCATAAATCCATGGATAACGGGATGGACTGCAGGCCACGCTCCAGAACCTGCAGGAAGGGGATGGAATGGACTTCCCCCCAAAGCAGGAAGAGAAGGGGATTTACCCCCACAAACCAGGAAAAAGGAGGATTTTTCCCCCAAAAAAAGGGAAAGAAGGAGATTTTTCCCCCAGAGGATCCATCCCCACCTCCTCAGCAGTGTGGGCGCTGCCGAGGCGCCGCTCCATTTACCCCCAAACCCAGGAAAAAGGAGGAATTTCCCTCTTAAATGAGCTAAAAAGGAGGAATTTCCCCTCTCAGGACCCCTCCCCACCTCCTCAGCGGTGCGGGTGCTGCCGAGGGGCCGCTCCATTTACCCCCAAACCCAGGAAAAAGGAGGAATTTCCCCCCAAAAGAGGGAAAGAAGCAGATTTTTCTCTCAGAGAATCCATCCCCACCTCCTCAGCAGTGCGGGTGCTGCCGAGGGGCCGCTCCATTTACCCCCAAACCCAGGAAAAGGAGGATTTTTCCCCCAAAAATCAGGAAAAAGGAGGGATTTTGCCCCCAAACACCACAGAGGATCCATCCCCACCTCCTCAGCAGTGCGGGTGCTGCCGAGGGGCCGCTCCATTTACCCCCAAACCCAGGAAAAAGGAGGAATTTCCCCCCTAAATGAAATAAAAAGGAGGATTTTTTCCCCCTCAGGACCCCTCCCCACCTCCTCAGCAGTGCGGGCGCTGCCGAGGGGCTGCTCCATTTACCCCCAAACCCAGGAAAATGGGGGAATTCCCACCCCAGACCCAGGAAAAAGGAGGAATTTTCCCCCCAAATGAGGTAAAAAGGAGGAATTTCCTCCCCAAACCCAAAAAAAGGAGCAATTTCCCCCCTAAATGAGGTAAAAATGAGATTTTTCCCCCCTAGGACCCCTCCCCACCTCCTCAGCGGTGCGGGTGCTGCCGAGGGGCTGCTCCATTTACCCCCAGACCCAGGAAAAAGGAGGAATTTTCCCCCCAAATGAGGTAAAAAGGAGGAATTTCTCCCCTGAAGGATGAAGAGAAGAGGAATTTCCCCCTTAGGACCCCTCCCCACCTCCTCAGCGGTGCGGGTGCTGCCGAGGCGCCGCTCCATTTACCCCCAAACCCAGGAAAAAGGAGGAATTTCCTCCCCTAAATCAGGTAAAAAGGAGGAATTTCCCCCCTGAAGGATGAAGAGAAGAGGAATTTCCCCCCCAAACCCAGGAAAAAGGAGCAATTTCCCCCCTAAATGAGATAAAAAGGAGGAATTTCCCCCCTCAGGACCCCTCCCCACCTCCTCAGCGGTGCGGGCGCTCCCGAGGGGCCGCTCCATTTACCCCCAAACCCAGGAAAAGGAGGATTTACCCCCCTAAATGAGATAAAAAGGAGATTTTTCTCTCAGAAGATCCATCCCCACCTCCTCAGCGGTGCGGGTGCTCCCCAGGCGCTGCTCCATTTACCCCCAAACCCAGGAAAAGGAGGATTTTTCCCCCAAAAATCAGGAAAAAGGAGGGATTTTGCCCCCAAACACCTCAGAGGATCCATCCCCACCTCCTCAGCAGTGCGGGTGCTCCCCAGGCGCTGCTCCATTTACCCCCAAACCCAGGAAAAGGAGGATTTTTCCCCCAAAAATCAGGAAAAAGGAGGGATTTTGCCCCCAAACACCACAGAGGATCCATCCCCACCTCCTCAGCGGTGCGGGTGCTGCCGAGGTGCCGCTCCATTTACCCCCAAACCCAGGAAAAAGGAGGGATTTTCCCCCCAAACCCAGGAAAAAGGAGGAATTTCCCCAAAAACACCTCAGAGAATCCATCCCCACCTCCTCAGCAGTGCGGGTGCTCCCCAGGCGCCGCTCCATTTAACCCCAAACTCAGGAAAATGGGGGATTTTCTCCCCCAAACCCAGGAAAAAGGAGGATTTAACCCCCAAATCAAGAAGAAAAGAGGATTTTTCCCCCTCAGGACCCCTCCCCACCTCCTCAGCGTTGCGGGTGCTGCCGAGGGGCCGCTCCATTTACCCCCAAACCCAGGAAAAAGGAGGATTTTTCCCCCAAAAATCAGGAAAAAGGAGGGATTTTGCCCCCAAACACCACAGAGGATCCATCCCCACCTCCTCAGCAGTGCGGGTGCTGCCGAGGGGCCGCTCCATTTACCCCCAAACCCAGGAAAAAGGAGGAATTTCCCCCCTAAATGAAATAAAAAGGAGGATTTTTCCCCTCAGGACCCCTCCCACCTCCTCAGCAGTGCGGGCGCTGCCGAGGGCTGCTCCATTACCCCCAAACCCAGGAAAATGGGGGAATTCCCACCCCAGACCCAGGAAAAAGGAGGAATTTTCCCCCCAAATGAGGTAAAAAGGAGGAATTTCCTCCCCAAACCCAAAAAAAGGAGCAATTTCCCCCCTAAATGAGGTAAAAATGAGATTTTTCCCCCCTAGGACCCCTCCCCACCTCCTCAGCGGTGCGGGTGCTGCCGAGGGGCTGCTCCATTTACCCCCAGACCCAGGAAAAAGGAGGAATTTTCCCCCCAAATGAGGTAAAAAGGAGGAATTTCTCCCCTGAAGGATGAAGAGAAGAGGAATTTCCCCCTTAGGACCCCTCCCCACCTCCTCAGCGGTGCGGGTGCTGCCGAGGCGCCGCTCCATTTACCCCCAAACCCAGGAAAAAGGAGGAATTTCCTCCCCTAAATCAGGTAAAAAGGAGGAATTTCCCCCCTGAAGGATGAAGAGAAGAGGAATTTCCCCCCCAAACCCAGGAAAAAGGAGCAATTTCCCCCCTAAATGAGATAAAAAGGAGGAATTTCCCCCCTCAGGACCCCTCCCCACCTCCTCAGCGGTGCGGGCGCTCCCGAGGGGCCGCTCCATTTACCCCCAAACCCAGGAAAAGGAGGATTTACCCCCCTAAATGAGATAAAAAGGAGATTTTTCTCTCAGAAGATCCATCCCCACCTCCTCAGCGGTGCGGGTGCTCCCCAGGCGCTGCTCCATTTACCCCCAAACCCAGGAAAAGGAGGATTTTTCCCCCAAAAATCAGGAAAAAGGAGGGATTTTGCCCCCAAACACCTCAGAGGATCCATCCCCACCTCCTCAGCAGTGCGGGTGCTCCCCAGGCGCTGCTCCATTTACCCCCAAACCCAGGAAAAGGAGGATTTTTCCCCCAAAAATCAGGAAAAAGGAGGGATTTTGCCCCCAAACACCACAGAGGATCCATCCCCACCTCCTCAGCGGTGCGGGTGCTGCCGAGGTGCCGCTCCATTTACCCCCAAACCCAGGAAAAAGGAGGAATTTCCCCCTAAATGAGATAAAAAAGAGGATTTCTCCCCAGTAAGTGCCATCCCCACCTCCTCAGCGGTGCGGGTGCTCCCCAGGCGCCGCTCCATGTCGGCGAATTTCTTCCAGTAGCCGTAGCAGTAGGGGTAGTGCCCGAAGAAGGCGTCGAAGGCGCGGCGGGCGCCGCTCAGCAGGTTCTGGGGGGGCAAAAACCCAGGGGTTGGGGGGGAAATGGGGTGGGAATGGAGGATCTGAGGAGATGGGGGGTGAGGGGGGGAATGGGGGTGAGGGGAATTGGGGGTTTTGAAGAGGGGATTGGGGTTTTTGAGGGGGGAGTTGGGGTTTTGAATGGGGGAATTGGGGTTTTGAATGGGGGGAAATTGGAAGATTTTAAGGGGGGAAATGGGAAGATCTCAAGAGGGGAAATTGGGGTTTTTACAGGGTGGAAATTGGGGTTTTGAATGGGGGGAATTGGGGGTTTTAAGGGGGGGAATTGTGGGTTTTAAAGGGGGGAAATTGGGGTTTTTACAGGGCGGAAATTGGGGTTTTGAATGGGGGGAAATTGGGATTTTTACAAGGGAAAAAAGAGTTTTTAAAGGGGTGAAATTGGGGATTTTGAATGGGGGAAATCGGAAGATTTTAAGGGAGAAAAAGTCGAGATTTTTACAGGGGGAAAAAAAGAGATTTTAAGGGGGCACTGGAATTTTTAAGGGGGGAATCAGGATTTTTACAGGGCTGAAATTGGGAGTTTTTAAAGGCGGAAAATCAGAGATTTTGACAGGGGAAATAAGGATTTTTACAGGGGGGAAATCAGGATTTTTGCAGGGGAGAACTTGGAGATTTTAAGGGGGAAAATCAGAATTTTTACAGGGCTAAAATCGGGCGTTTTCAAAGGGGGAAAACCGGAGATTTTAAGGACAGGAGACCAAAACTTAAAGGAAGAAACCGGAATTTTCACGGGAGGCACAGCGGGATTTTTTTGTGGGGGGAGGAAAGTGGACAATGGGCCCCCCTCCCCCTCCCCCCAGGTTAATGAGTCGCTAATTACCGGCGCTAACGACCCCCCAGCCCCACCTCCTGCTCGACGTAGCCCAGCAGGTCGGTCCAGGCGCCGAAGTCGTGCGGGTTCGCCTGGGCCGCCCCCCAGAGCCGCTCGAACTCGGGGGCAGGGGGGACAGGGCCGGGGGCTCCTGGGGGGGCTCCTCGGGGGCGGGGCCCGAGGAGGAGCCCCCGTTGACGCTCTGGGGAGGGGAGGAGGGAAGGGGGAGGGGAGAGGGGGGCTCGGCTGGGGGCTGGAGGGGGGACAGAGAAAAGGGGGGCAGAGAAATAAGGGGGTAAAAAAAGGGGCGCATTAATTAATTTGGGGAGGGGGATCCTGGAGCGTTTCCACCCCCTCCCCCTAACACCCCTGGCTCTGCCCCTCCCCCAATTCATTCCCATTCACCCCAAATTCCAACAGACCCTCCCTCAGCTCCCCCAAACCCCCCAGTCCCCCAATTCCCTCAGCTCCTCCCCAAAATCCCCAAATCCCCTCAGCCCCCCAAATTCCCTCAGACTCCCAAACATCCCCAAATTCCCCCAAACATCCCCAACCCCCTCAGAACCCCCAAACATCCCCAAACCCCTCAGACCCCCAATATCCCCTCAGCCTCGCCCCCTCACGCCCCCAGCCCCCAAGGCCCCGAGTCTCACCGCCGTCCCCGTCCCGGGCCCCGGGGTCTCCCATCCCCTCCCCGGAGTCTCCCCCATCCCTCCCCGGGGTCTCACCGCCGTCCCCGTCCCCCAGCCCCTCCCGGGGGTCTCACCGCCGTCCCCGTCCCCCAGGGCCCCGGGGTCTCCCCATCCCCCGGGGTCTCACCTGCCGTCCCCGTCCCCCAGGGCCCCCCGGCCCCTCCTCGGGCCCCTCGGCCGCCATCGCCGCGCGCGGCTCCCGGAAGTGGCGGCCCGGAGCGGCCGGAAGCGCCGCGGGCGGGGCGGGCAGCGCCGCCTGGCAGGCGGGAGGACCCGCGGCGCGGGGAGCGGCACCATAGAGACGGGCCACGATGGGGGGGACAGAGCGGCTTCCGGGAGCGCCGCCAGGACCATAGAGACGGGCCATGGTGAGGGGACAGAGCGGCTTCCGGGAATGGGGACACCAGTCCGGACCAGTGCGGAGGATTCCAGACCAGTCACAGCCACTCTGGGGGCAGGAAACCAGTACAGACCAGTACAAACCAGTACAACGAGTGTGTGTGTGTGTGGGGGGCTTGACCAACCACAGCGACTTTTGGGGCAGGAAACCAGTCTACACCAGTACACACCAGTACAGACCAGTGCACGGGCTCCTGGGTAACGGCGGAGGCTTCGGCGCTGGGGGGAAACCAGAACAACCCAGTATAACCCAGTACAAACCAGTACAACCCAGTATGACCCAGTTCGACCCCAGTTCCGGGGGCGGACTGACCATAGAGACGGGGGAGGACTGACCATAGAGACGGGGGAGGACTGACCATAGAGACGCGCGGCGCCCCCCAGCGGGCGGGAGGAGCGCTCCTGGCACCGTTTATTTTCGTATTTACAGCGGAATCGGTAAAAATTTGTACATTATTTACAAATTAAATAATCCCGGCCCCGCTTTGGGGGTGAGGGGGGAACCAGAGGAGCGATTTGGGGCCCGACCCGTCCCCGAAATGTCCTCCCCTCCTCCCTCCCCCCTCAAAAAAAAAACCCACGAGGAAATTCCAAGGAATCCACCCCAAAAAAAAAAAAACAAACCCAAAAATCAACCAGAACCAGCAGCAACAAAAAAAAAAAAAAAAAAAAAGACGATGATTTTGGCTCAAAATGGGCAAAAAAACCCCCAAAGCACAACAGAAAGGGCTGGAGGAAAACTCCCCGCTCGGTTATTGCCAAATCCCCCCTCGGGGATCTCCGCCCGGGGCTGAGATTGCAGCGGGAGGGGGAACAAAACGGGATTTGAACCAAAAAATAAACGGCTTTTCTGGCTCCTTTCTGCCCCGGGAGGAGCCGTTTCTGTCGGTTCTGAGGGGGGGTCGTGGCTTTTTCCCTGAGAATTCGGGGGGTCCGAGAGGCACTGGGGGAGCGGCGGCTCCGAGGGGGGCAAAAACGGGAAAAAACGGGCAAAAATGGGGCAAAAACCGGCAAAAATGGGGCAAAAATGGGGAAAAATCAGCCAAACCAGTAGGGACCAGTAGGGAACCAGTATGAACCAGTATGGAGTGGGGGAGGGGGTTAACACTGCTCGTGGGGCTGGGGGGGAAAGGGGGACCCAAAATTCCACAGGGGGACCCAAAAGATTCTTTTTTTTTTGGGGGGGGGAAGGGGGGGGCTGAAATTCCAGGGGGAATTCCAAGGGGGGGGAAATCGTCAGGAGGGGCCCAAATTCCAGGGGGGAAAAATGGGGGAAAAAATGGGGAAAATAATGAGGAAAATTGGCTGAAAATGGGGGAAATTACAGAGGAAATGGGGGGGGGAATGGATGGGAATGGGGGGAAAATGAGGGAGGGAATGGGGGAAAAAACAGGAAAAAAAGGAGGGAAAACAGGAAAAAAAGGAGGGAAAATGGGAAAAAAAGGAGGGAAAATGGGAAAAAAAGGAGGGAAAATGGGAAAAAAAGGAGGGAAAATGGGAAAAAAAGGAAGGAAAATGGGAAAAAAAGGAAGGAAAATGGGAAAAAAGGAGGGAAAATGGGAAAGAAGGAGGGAAAATGGGAAAAGCTGGGCTAAACCAGAGGGGGTGGGAAAGGTGTCAATCCCCCCAGGAAAGGGGAAAATTCCCCCTGGAAAAGGATCAATAACCCTGGGAAGGGATCAATACCCTGGAAAAGGATTAATCCCCCTGGGAAGGGATCAATAACCCTGGGAATGGATCAATACCCTGGGAATGGATCAATAACCCTGGGAAGGGATCAATAACCCTGGGAAGGGATCAATCCCCCTGGGAATGGATCAATAACCCTGGGAATGGATCAATAACCCTGGGAATGGATCAATAACCCTGGGAAGGGATCAATAACCCTGGGAATGGATCAATAACCCTGGGAAGGGATCAATAACCCTGGGAATGGATCAATAACCCTGGCAATGGATCAATAACCCTGGGAAGGGATCAATAACCCTGGGGATGGATCAATAACCCTGGGAAGGGATCAATAACCCTGGGAAGGGATCAATACCCTGGGAAGGGATCAATAACCCAGGGAAGGGATCAATAACCCTGGGAATGGATCAATAACCCTGGGAAGGGATCAATAACCCTGGGAATGGATCAATAACCCTGGGAAGGGATCAATACCCTGGGAAGGGATCAATAACCCTGGGAAGGGATCAATAACCCTGGGAAGGGATCAATAACCCTGGGAAGGGATCAATAACCCTGGGGATGGATCAATAATCCTGGAAAAGGATCAATAACCCTGGAAAAGGATCAATAACCCAGGGAATGGATCAATAACTCTGGGGATGGATCAATAACCCTGGGAAGGGATCAATAACCCTGGGAATGGATCAATAACCCTGGGAAGGGATCAATAACCCAGGGAAGGGATCAATAACCCAGGGAAGGGATCAATAACCCAGGGAATGGATCAATAACCCTGGGAATGGATCAATAACCCTGGGGATGGATCAATAACCCTGGGAATGGATCAATAACCCTGGGAATGGATCAATAACCCTGGGAAGGGATCAATAACCCTGGGAATGGATCAATAACCCTGGGAATGGATCAATAACCCTGGGAATGGATCAATCCCCTGGGAATGGATCAATACCCTGGGAAGGGATCAATAACCCTGGGAAGGGATCAATACCCTGGGAATGGATCAATAACCCTGGGAAGGGATCAATAACCCTGGGGATGGATCAATAACCCTGGGAAGGGACCAATAACCCTGGGAAGGGATCAATAACCCTGGGGATGGATCAATAACCCTGGGAATGGATCAATAACCCTGGGAAGGGATCAATACCCTGGGAAGGGATCAATAACCCTGGGAAGGGATCAATAACCCTGGGAAGGGATCAATAACCCTGGGGATGGATCAATAACCCTGGGAATGGATCAATAACCCTGGGAAGGGATCAATAACCCTGGGGATGGATCAATAACCCTGGGAAGGGATCAATAACCCTGGGAAGGGATCAATACCCTGGGAAGGGATCAATAACCCAGGGAAGGGATCAATAACCCTGGGAATGGATCAATAACCCTGGGAAGGGATCAATAACCCTGGGAATGGATCAATAACCCTGGGAAGGGATCAATACCCTGGGAAGGGATCAATAACCCTGGGAAGGGATCAATAACCCTGGGAAGGGATCAATAACCCTGGGGATGGATCAATAATCCTGGAAAAGGATCAATAACCCTGGAAAAGGATCAATAACCCAGGGAATGGATCAATAACTCTGGGGATGGATCAATAACCCTGGGAAGGGATCAATAACCCTGGGAAGGGATCAATAACCCAGGGAAGGGATCAATAACCCTGGGAAGGGATCAATACCCTGGGGATGGATCAATAACCCAGGGAAGGGATCAATAACCCAGGGAAGGGATCAATAACCCAGGGAATGGATCAATAACCCTGGGAATGGATCAATAACCCTGGGAAGGGATCAATAACCCTGGGAATGGATCAATAACCCTGGGAAGGGATCAATAACCCTGGGAAGGGATCAATACCCTGGGAAGGGATCAATAACCCTGGGGATGGATCAATAACCCTGGGAAGGGATCAATAACCCTGGGGATGGATCAATACCCTGGGAATGGATCAATAACCCAGGGAAGGGATCAATAACCCTGGGAATGGATCAATAACCCTGGGGATGGATCAATAACCCTGGGAATGGATCAATAACCCTGGGGATGGATCAATAACCCTGGGGATGGATCAATAACCCTGGGGATGGATCAATAACCCTGGGAAGGGATCAATAACCCTGGGAAGGGATCAATAACCCTGGGGATGGATCAATAACCCTGGGAAGGGATCAATACCCTGGAAAAGGATTAATCCCCCTGGCAATGGATCAATAACCCTGGGAATGGATCAATAACCCTGGGAAGGGATCAATACCCTGGGAAGGGATCAATAACCCTGGGGATGGATCAATAACCCAGGGAATGGATCAATAACCCTGGGGATGGATCAATAACCCTGGGAATGGATCAATAACCCTGGGGATGGATCAATAACCCTGGGGATGGATCAATAACCCTGGGAAGGGATCAATAACCCTGGGAATGGATCAATAACCCTGGGGATGGATCAATAACCCTGGGAATGGATCAATAACCCTGGGGATGGATCAATAACCCTGGGAATGGATCAATAACCCTGGGAAGGGATCAATAACCCTGGGAAGGGATCAATAACCCTGGGAAGGGATCAATAACCCTGGGAAGGGATCAATAACCCTGGGGATGGATCAATACCCTGGGGATGGATCAATAACCCTGGGAAGGGATCAATAACCCTGGGAAGGGATCAATAACCCTGGGGATGGATCAATACCCTGGGGATGGATCAATAACCCTGGGAATGGATCAATAACCCTGGGAAGGGATCAATACCCTGGGAAGGGATCAATAACCCTGGGAAGGGATCAATAACCCTGGGAAGGGATCAATAACCCTGGGGATGGATCAATACCCTGGGGATGGATCAATAACCCTGGGAAAGGGGCGGCAGTTCTGGGGTCACCGAAGGTCACCAAAGGTCACCAAAGGTCACTGAAGGTCACCGAAGGTCACTGAAGGTCACCAGAGGTCACCAGGGGTCACCAAAGGTCACCAAAGGTCACCAGAGGTCACCAAAGGGGCTCAGCCGGGCTCGGGTTTCGCTTCCAGACGGGAATTTTGGTGGAAAAACTGAAAAGGGGGGAGGGGGAAAAGGGGGGGGTTCCTGGGGGCTCCGGCCCCGCTGTCAGTGGGGGAGGGGTCCCCTGAGGGGAGGGGTCCCCTAGGGGAGGGGACCCTGGGGAGGGGACCCCTGGGGGAGGGGTCCCATGAGGGGAGGAGGAGGAAAAGGGGGGTCCTGGGGGCTCCGGCCCGCTGTCAGTGGGGAGGGACGTCCCCTGGGGAGGGGTCCCATGAGGGGGAGGGGTCCCCTGATGGGGAGGGGTCCCCTGGGGGGTCGTCCCCAGTTTTCGGAGGCGGCGCCGTCGCAGCTCGGCCGTGTCGGGACCCTCGGAGCCCTCGGGACCCTCGGAGCCTTCGGCCTCCCCCTCCTCCTGCTCCTCCTCCTCCTCCTGCTGCTGCTGCTGCTGCTGCTGCTGCACGGGGGGGGCTGCGGGGGACACCAGTTCAGAACCAGCTCAGCACCAGTTCAGCACCATCCCAGTCCCAGTTCAGCACCAGCACCAGTTCAGAACCAGCTCACTCCCAACTCAGCCCCAGTTCAGCCCCCATTCAGCACCATCCCAGTCCCAGTCCAGCCCCAGTTCAGTCCCAGTTCAGCCCCGGCTCAGCACCAGAGTTCCCAGTCCCTCCCACACCCGCCTGGTGCCACAACCCAAGCCAGTCCCTCCCAGTTCTCCCAGTTCTCTCAGTCTCCCCAGTCCCTCTCAGTGTCCCCAGTTCACCAAGTCCCTCCCAGTCCCTCCCAGTGTCCCCAGTCCCTCCCAGTGCCCCCAGTCCTTCCCAGTCCTTCCCAGTCCCTCCCAGTCCCTCCCAGTGTCCCCAGTCCCTCCCCAGTCCCTCCCAGTGTTCCCAGTGTCCCCAGTTTGGGGGGGTTCCCCGCTCACCGCTGGCTGGGGGGGTCCCGGGGGGTCCCGGGGGCTCCTCCGAGGGGGTCCCGGGCAGGGGAGGGGAGGGGCGGCACCTCGGGGGTCCTGGGGGGGGGAACGGGGAGTTATCCCAGTCTGGGGGGAGGGGAGAACCCCCAGAACCCCCCAGTCCATCCCAGTCCCTCCCAGTTACCCAGAGCTGGGCCACGACACTGAGCTACTGGTTGATCTGACCCCCCCCAGTTCCATCCCAGTCCCTCCCAGTTACCCAGAGCTGGGCCAGGACCAGCCAGTCCTGGTTGCTCTGGCTCCCCCCAGTGTTCCCAGTCCACCCCAGTTACCTGATGGTGGCCAGGACGGTCAGGCACTGGTTGATCTGACTCTCCCAGTCCCATCCCAGTCCATCCCAGTTACCTGATGGTGGCCAGGACGGTCAGGCACTGGTTGATCTGACCCTCCCAGTCCCATCCCAGTCCATCCCAGTTACCTGGTGGTGGCCACCACAGAGAGCTACTGGTTGATCTGGACCCCACATCACTCCCAGTCCCCCCCAGTCCATCCCAGTTACCCGATGGTGGCCAGCACTGTCAGGTACTGGTTGATCTGGAGCAGGGCCGCGTCCAGCAGGGTGTGGATGTTGCTCAGGCACTGCTGTCCCCATGGGAGCTCTGACTCCCCCAGTCCATCCCAGTGTCCCCATGGCTCCCCCAGTGTTCCCAGTCCATCCCAGTCCCTCCCAGTTACCCGATGGTGGCCAGGACAGTGAGGTACTGGTTGATCTGGAGCAGGGCTGCGTCCAGCAGGGTGTGGATGTTGCTCAGGCACTGCTGTCCCTGTGACCCCCCCAGTCCATCCCAGTGTCCCCATGGCTCCCCCAGTGTTCCCAGTCCATCCCAGTCCCTCCCAGTTACCCGATGGTGGCCAGGACAGTGAGGTACTGGTTGATCTGGAGCAGGGCTGCGTCCAGCAGGGTGTGGATGTTGCTCAGGCACTGCTGTCCCTGTGACTCCCCCAGTGTCCCCAGTCCATCCCAGTGCTCCCAGTCCATCCCAGCCCCTCCCAGTCCCTCCCAGTTACCCGATGGTGGCCAGGACGGTGAGGTACTGGTTGATCTGGAGCAGGGCCGCGTCCAGCAGGGTGTGGATGTTGCTCAGGCACTGCTGTCCCTGTGACCCCCGCAGTGTCCCCAGTCCATCCCAGTGCTCCCAGTCCCTCCCAGTGTTCCCAGTTACCCGATGGTGGCCAGGACAGTCAGGTACTGGTTGATCTGGAGCAGGGCTGCGTCCAGCAGGGTGTGGATGTTGCTCAGGCACTGCTGTCCCTGTGACCCCCCCAGTCCATCCCAGTGTTCCCAGTCCCTCCCAGCCCATCCCAGTCCCTCCCAGTTACCCGATGGTGGCCAGCACTGTCAGGTACTGGTTGATCTGGAGCAGGGCCGCGTCCAGCAGGGTGTGGATGTTGCTCAGGCACTGCTGTCCCCATGGGAGCTCTGACTCCCCCAGCCCATCCCAGTGTCCCCATGGCTCCCCCAGTGCTCCCAGTCCATCCCAGTCCCTCCCAGTTACCCGATGGTGGCCAGCACTGTCAGGTACTGGTTGATCTGGAGCAGGGCCGCGTCCAGCAGGGTGTGGATGTTGCTCAGGCACTGCTGTCCCCATGGGAGCTCTGACTCCCCCAGCCCATCCCAGTGTCCCCATGGCTCCCCCAGTGCTCCCAGTCCATCCCAGTCCCTCCCAGTTACCCGATGGTGGCCAGCACTGTCAGGTACTGGTTGATCTGGAGCAGGGCCGCGTCCAGCAGGGTGTGGATGTTGCTCAGGCACTGCTGTCCCTGTGACCCCCCCAGTGTCCCCATGGCTCCCCCAGTGTTCCCAGTCCATCCCAGTGTTCCCAGTCCATCCCAGTGTTCCCAGTCCCTCCCAGTTACCCGATGGTGGCCAGGACAGTGAGGTACTGGTTGATCTGGAGCAGGGCTGCGTCCAGCAGGGTGTGGATGTTGCTCAGGCACTGCAGCCGGGCCTGCAGGTGCTGCCTCTCGTGGCCCTCCATGGCTCTCAGCTCGTCCTCGGTGAGCCCCGCGAAGCCGGCGGGCGGCACCGGCATGGGGGGCAGCCCTGGGGGGGTTTGGGGGGGTCAGGGGGCTCCTGGGGTGGGGAGACCCCAAATCCCCCCATGGGGTGGGCTTACCGAAGAGAGGGGGCCAGGCCAGGCCCAGCCAGGGCGGGGGCAGCCCGGGGGCTCCGGGGCTTCGGAGCCGGCGCTGGAGTCACCGGGACGGGGGGCTGGGGGGAAAAGGGGGTCAGGAACGGATTTGGGGAAAATGGACCCCCAAAACCATCCTCGGGTCAGGAACAGCTTTGGGGGAGCAAAGGGGGGTCAGGAACAGCTTTGGGAGGGGGGGATGGACCCCCAAAGCCATCCCCGGGGTAGGGTTTGGGGTGGAAGGAGGGGATATTTGGGGAGGAAGGGGGATATTTGGGGAGGAAGGGGGATATTTGGGGTGGAAAGGGGGATTTGGGGTGGAAGGGGGATTTGGGGTGGAAAGGGGATTTAGGGTGGCAGGGAGGATTTGGGGTGGAAGGGGGATATTTGGGGTTTCAGGGGATATTGGGGTGGAAGGGGGATTTGTGGTAGAAAGGGGATATTTGGGGAGGAAGGGGGATATTTGGGGAGGAAGGGGGATTTGGGGTTTCAGGGTGGATATTTGGGGTGGAAGGGGGATATTTGGGGTGGAAGGGGGATATTTGGGGTGGAAGGGGGACATTTGGGGTGGAAGGGGGATATTTGGGGTGGAAGGGGGATATTTGGGGAGGAAGGGGGATATTTGGGGTGGAAGGGGGATATTTGGGGAGGAAGGGGGATATTTGGGGTGGAAGGGGTGGATATTTGGGGTGGCAGGGGGATATTTGGGGTGGAAGGGGAGTTTGGGGTGGAAGGGGGATATTTGGGGTTTCAGGGTGGATATTTGGGGTGGAAAGGGGGATTTGGGAGTGGAAGGGGGTTTGGGGTGGAAGGGGGATATTTGGGGTTTCAGGGGATATTTGGGGTTTCAGGGGGATATTTGGGGTTTCAGGGGAATATTTGGGGTTTCAGGGGGATATTTGGGGTTTCAGGGGGATATTTGGGGAGGAAGGGGGATATTTGGGGTTTCAGGGGGGATATTTGGGGAGGAAGGGGGGGATATTTGGGGTTTCAGGGGGGATATTTGGGGTGGAAAGGGGGGATTTGGGGCCGGACTCACCTGCGGCGCTGCCGGAGCCGTCGGGGCCGGGGGGAGGGGTCTGTGGGACCCCCGGGCCGGGCGGGAAGGGCCCCACAGGAGGCCAAAAGGGGAACATTCCCGGTGGGAACGGGGGCAGGAGACCCTGGGGAACTGCGGGGGGAGAGCAGGGAGAGACCCCAGTGAACCCCAGGGACCCCAATTCCCCCCCCACTCACAGCTGGGGGGCTGTGGGACCCCCCATTATCCCCCCCAGGACTCACAGTTGGGGGGCTGTGGGACCCCCCATTATCCCCCCAGGACTCACAGTTGGGGGGCTGTGGGACCCCCATTCCCCCCCCATTATCCCCCCCCACTCACAGTTGGGGGGCTGTGGGACCCCATTATCCCCCCCAGACTCACAGTTGGGGGGCTGTGGGACCCCCATTATCCCCCCAGACTCACAGCTGGGGGGCTGTGGGACCCCCCATTCACCCCCAGACTCACAGTTGGGGGGCTGTAGGACCCCTCATTCCCCCCAGACTCACAGTTGGGGGGCTGTGGGACCCCATTAACCCCCCCATTATCCCCCAGACTCACAGTTGGGGGCTGGGGACCCCATTCCCCCCATTATCCCCCCCCACTCACAGTTGGGGGGCTGTGGGACCCCATTCCCCCCCCATACTCACAGTTGGGGGGCTGTGGGACCCCATTATCCCCCCCAGACTCACAGCTGGGGGGCTGTGGGACCCCATTATCGCCCCCAGACTCACAGCTGGGGGGCTGTGGGACCCCCATTCCCCCCCCCCCATACTCACAGCTGGGGGGCTGTGGGACCCCATTCCCCCATACTCACAGTTGGGGGCTGGGGACCCATTCCCCCATTATCCCCCCCACTCACAGCTGGGGGCTGTGGAACCCCATTTCCCCCATACTCACAGTTGTGGGGCTGTGGGACCCCATTACCCCCATACTCACAGCTGGGGGCTGTAGGACCTCATTATCCCCCAGACTCACAGCTGGGGGCTGTGGGACCCCATTAACACCCCATTATCCCCCAGACTCCCAGTTGGGGGGCTGTGGGACCCCCCATTCCCCCCCCATACTCACAGTTGTGGGGCTGTGGGACCCCATTCCCCCCCAGACTCACAGCTGGGGGGCTGTGGGACCCCATTAACCCCCCATTCCCCCCATACTCACAGTTGTGGGGCTGGGGGCCGAGGGCTGTGGGACCCCATTCACCCCCATTTCCCCCATTCCCCCAGACTCACATTTGGGGGCTGTAGGATCCCATTAACTCCCCATTCCCCCATACTCACAGCTGGGGGCTGGGGGCCAGGGGGCTGTGGGACCCCATTCACCCTCATTTCCCCCATTCCCCCATACTCACAGTTGTGGGGCTGGGGGCCGGGGGCTGTGCCGGCGCCGGGGGCTGCTCGGGGGGCTCCGGGGGGGGCTGTGGCGGCAGCGAGGCCCGCAGGACGTCCATGCGGCACGTGGGGCACGTCTGCTGCCGCTGGAACCACGAGCGCAGGCAGCTGCCACGGCACGGGCACCGGGGTGGCACCGGGGACGCCACCGGGGCGCCCACGGGACACCAAAAATATCACCAGGGACACCAAAAACACCCCCAGGTCACCAGGGACACCAGAACCACCCTCGGGGCACCAAAAATATCACCAGGGACACCAAAAATACCCCCAGGACACCAGAACCACCCATGGGACACCAGGGACACCCACGGGTCACCAAAAATATCACCAGGGACACCCATGGGTCACCAAAAATATCACCAGGGACACCCACGGGGCACCAAAAATATCACCAGGGACACCAAAAATATCAGCAGGGACACCAGAACCACCCACAGGTCACCAAAAATACCCCCAGGTCACCAGGGACACCCACGGGGCACCAAAAATATCACCAGGGACACCAGAACCACCCATGGGTCACCAGGGACACCCACGGGTCACCAAAAATATCACCGGGGACACCAGAACCACCCATGGGACACCAGAACCACCCTCGGGTCACCAAAAATATCACCAGGGACACCAGAACCACCCATGGGTCACCAGAACCACCCACGGGACACCCACAGGATACCAGGGACACCCAAGGGTCACCAGGGACACCCATGGGTCACCAGAACCACCCATGGGACACCAGAACCACCCATGGGTCACCAGGGACACCAGAACCACCCCCAGGTCACCAGGGACACCCCCCGGTGCTGTGACCCCTCCAAACCCACCACAACCCCTCCTGGGACACCAGTGCCCCCAGCACAGCCCCCCCAGTGCTGTGACCCCCCCAGTGCCCCCAGTGCCCCCAGCACAGCCCCCCCAGTGCTGTGATCCCCCAAGCCCCCAGTGCCCCCAGCACAGCCCCCAGTGCTGTGACCCCCAGTGCCCCCAGTGCCCCCAGCACAGCCCCCCAGTGCTGTGACCCCCAGTGCCCCCAGTGCCCCCAGCACAGACCCCCAGTGCTGTGACCCCCAGTGCCCCCAGTGCCCCCAGCACAGACCCCCAGTGCTGTGATCCCCCAGTGTCCCCAGCACAGTCCCCCAGTGCTGTGACCCCCAGTGTCCCCAGCACAGACCCCCAGTGCCCCCAGTGTCCCCAGCACAGCCCCCCAGTGCCCTGACCCCCCGTGCCCTGATCCCCCAGTGCCCCCAGAACAGCCCCCCAGTGCCCCCAGTGTCCCCCCAGTCCCCCCAGTCCCCCAGTGCCCCCGTACCTGGTGTGGAAGATGTGGTTGCAGGGCAGGCGCTGGCCACCACCACAGCCCCCCAGTGTCCTGATCCCCCCAGTGCCCCCAGCACAGCCCCCAGTCCCCCCAGTGCCCCCATACCTGGTGTGGAAGATGTGGTTGCAGGGCAGGCGCTTGGCCCCCGTCACCATCTCCTCCCGTGTCCCCAGTGCCCCCAGTACAGCCCCCCAGTCCCCCCAGTGCCCCCAGTACACCCCTCCAGTCCCCCATACCTGGTGTGGAAGATGTGGTTGCAGGGCAGGCGCTTGGCCCCTGTCACCATCTCCTCCCGTGTCCCCAGTGCCCCCAGCACAGCCCCCCCAGTGCCCCCAGCACAGCCCCCCAGTCCCCCAGTGCCCCCATACCTGGTGTGGAAGATGTGGTTGCAGGGCAGGCGCTTGGCCCCCGTCACAGCCCCCACCACAGCCCCTCCGTGTCCCCAGTGCCCCCAGCACAGCCCCCAGTCCCCCAGTGCCCCCAGTGCCCCCATACCTGGTGTGGAAGATGTGGTTGCAGGGCAGGCGCTTGGCCCCCACCACAGCCCCCCAGTTCCCCCAGTGCCCCCAGCACAGCCCCCAGTCCCCCCAGTCCCCCAGTGCCCCCATACCTGGTGTGGAAGATGTGGTTGCAGGGCAGGCGCTGGCCCCCGTCACAGCCCCCACCACAGCCCCCTCCGTGTCCCCAGTGCCCCCAGCACAGCCCCCCAGTCCCCCCAGTGCCCCCAGTGCCCCCATACCTGGTGTGGAAGATGTGGTTGCAGGGCAGGCGCTTGGCCCCCACCACAGCCCCCAGTTCCCCCAGTGCCCCCAGCACAGCCCCCCAGTCCCCCCAGTCCCCCCAGTGCCCCCATACCTGGTGTGGAAGATGTGGTTGCAGGGCAGGCGCTGGCCCCCGTCACAGCCCCCACCACAGCCCCCTCCGTGTCCCCAGTGCCCCCAGCACAGCCCCCCAGTCCCCCAGTGCCCCCAGTGCCCCCATACCTGGTGTGGAAGATGTGGTTGCAGGGCAGGCGCTTGGCCCCACCACAGCCCCCCAGTTCCCCCAGTGCCCCCAGCACAGCCCCCAGTCCCCCCAGTCCCCCCAGTGCCCCCATACCTGGTGTGGAAGATGTGGTTGCAGGGCAGGCGCTTGGCCCCCACCACAGCCCCCCGTGTCCCCAGTACAGCCCCCAGCACACCCCCAGTCCCCCCAGTCCCCCCAGTGCCCCCAGTGCCCCATACCTGGTGTGGAAGATGTGGTTGCAGGGCAGGCGCTTGGCCCCCACCACAGCCCACCCCCTGTGTTCCCAGTCCCCCAGTGCCCTGACCCCCCAAGTGTCCCCAGTGCTCCCAGCACACCCCCAGTCCCCCAGCCCCGTACCTGGTGTGGAAGATGTGGTTGCAGGGCAGGCGCTTGGCCCCTGTCACCATCTCCTCCCGTGTCCCCAGTGCCCCCAGTACAGCCCCCCAGTCCCCCCAGTCCCCCAGTCCCCATACCTGGTGTGGAAGATGTGGTTGCAGGGCAGGCGCTTGGCCCCCGTCACCATCTCCTCCCGTGTCCCCAGTGCCCCCACCACAGCCCCCCAGCCCCCCAGTCCCCATACCTGGTGTGGAAGATGTGGTTGCAGGGCAGGCGCTTGGCCCCCAGCACAGCCCCCGTGTCCCCAGTGCCTCCAGCACAGCCCCCCAGTGCCCCCCGTGTCCCCAGTGCCTCCAGCACAGCCCCCTGTGTCCCCAGTCCCCCAGTCCCCCAGTTCCCCCAGTACAGCCCCCAGTACCTGGTGTGGAAGATGTGGTTGCAGGGCAGGCGCTTGGCCACCACCACAGCCCTCCCGTGTCCCCAGTGCCCCCAGCACACCCTCCCAGTCCACCCCAGTCCCCCAGTGCCCCCAGCACAGCCCCCCCAGTGCCCTGATCCCCCAGTGCCCCCAGCACAGCCCCCAGTCCCCCAGTGCCCCCAGTACCTGGTGTGGAAGATGTGGTTGCAGGGCAGGCGCTTGGCCCCCGTCACCATCTCCTCCCGTGTCCCCAGTCCCCCAGTGCCCCCAGCACAGCCCCCCAGTCCCCCCCAGTGCCCCCAGTGGTGCCCCCATACCTGGTGTGGAAGATGTGGTTGCAGGGCAGGCGCTTGGCCCCCGTCACCATCTCCTCCCGGCAGATGATGCACACGTTGTCCGTGGCCTGCAGCTCCTCGGCCGTGGCGTCGGGGTACCTGTGCCCACAGCTCTGCTTGGGGGGCTGCTCAGGCCCCCAGACCCAAAAACCTCTGCTTGGGGGGCTGCTCAGCCCCAAAAACCTCTGCCTGGGGGGGGTCCATCCTTCCCCAGACCCCCAAAAACCTCTGCTTGGGGGGCTGCTTAGCCCCAAAAACCTCTGCTTGGGGGGGGTCCATCCTTCCCCAGACCCAAAAATCACTGCTTGGGGGGCTACTCAGCCCCTCACCCCCAAAAATCACTGCTTGGGGGGCTGCTCAGCCCAAAAACCTCTGCCTGGGGGGGTTCCATCCTTCCCCAGCCCCAAAAACCTCTGCCTGGGGGGGGTCCATCCTTCCCCAGCCCCAAAAATCACTGCTTGGGGGGGTTCCATCCTTCCCCAGACCCAAAAATCACTGCTTGGGGGGGCTGCTCAGCCCCAAAAACCTCTGCTTGGGGGGGTTCCATCCTTCCCCAGCCCCAAAAACCTCTGCCTGGGGGGGTTCCATCCTTCCCCAGCCCCAAAAACCTCTGCTTGGGGGGCTGCTTAATCCTCAGCTCCAAAAACCTCTGCTTGGGGGGCTGCTCAGCCCCAAAAACCTCTGCTTGGGGGGGTTCCATCCTTCCCCAGCCCCAAAAACCTCTGCTTGGGCCACTCCTTCCCTCCTCAGCCACAAAAATGGAGGAGAGGGAAGGTTTGGGAAGGTTTTTGGAAGGTTTGGGAAGGTTTTGTGATGTTTGGGAAGGTTTTGGGATGTTTGGTAAGGGGAGGTTTGGGAGGGGATGTTTGGGAAGGTTTTGGGATGTTTGGTAAGGGGAGGTTTGGGAGGGGATGTTTGGGAAGGGGAGGTTTGGGAAGGTTTTGGGATGTTTAGGAAGGGAAGTTTGGGGAGGTTTGGGAGGGAATGTTTTGGGATGTTTGGGAGGGGAGGTTTGGGGATGTTTTGGGATGTTTAGGAAGGGAAGTTTGGGGATGTTTGGGAGGGGAGGTTTGGGGATGTTTAGGAAGGGAAGTTTGGGGAGGTTTGGGGATGTTTTGGGATGTCTGGGAAGGGAAGTTTGAGGATGTTTGGGAGGGGAGTTTTGGGGATGTTTGGGAGGGGAGGCTTGGGGATGTTTTGGGATGTTTGGGAAGTTTGGGGATGTTTTGGGATGTTTGGGAAGGGAAGTTTGGGGATGTTTTGGGATGTTTTGGGTCACTCACAGCGTGTTCATGTTGCGGATGGCCCGGCGGGACATGATGGCGTCGGTCACCGCCTTCTTGAACTGCCTGTGGGGACAGGACGGGCTGGGACCGGCCCTGGGGCACGGAGTGGGGGGTGGGATGGGATGGGGGGATTGGGGGGTGGGAGCAGCTCACCTCATGGCCAGGTACATGGGGTGATGGGGTGATGGGATGGGACGATGGGATGATGGGGTAATGGGATAATGGGATGGGATAAGGGTTTGGGATCAGCTCACCTCATGGCCAGGTACATGGGGTGGGATGATGGGATGGGATGATGGGATGATGGGATAGGGGTTTGGGAACAGCTCACCTCATGGCCAGGTACATGGGGCGGATGGGACAATGGGATAATGGGATGGGATAATGGGATGATGGGATAGGGGGTTGGGAACACCTCACCTCATGGCCAGGTACATGGGGTGGGATGATGGGATGGGATGATGGGGTGATGGGATGATGGGATGGGATTGGGGTTTGGGATCAGCTCACCTCATGGCCAGGTACATGGGGCGGATGGGATGATGGGATGGGATGATGGGATGGGATGATGGGGTCATGGGATGGGATGATGGGGTGATGGGATGATGGGGTGATGGGATGATGGGATGGGATGATGGGGTGATGGGATGATGGGGTGATGGGATAATGGGGTGGGATTGGGGTTTGGGATCAGCTCACCTCATGGCCAGGTACATGGGGCGGATGGGATGATGGGATGGGATGATGGGATGGGGTGATGGGATGATGGGATGATGGGGTGATGGGATGATGGGGTGATGGGATGATGGGGTGATGGGATGATGGGGTGATGGGATGGTGGGATAGGGGTTTGGGAACAGCTCACCTCATGGCCAGGTACATGGGGTGATGGGATGATGGGGTGATGGGATAATGGGGTGATGGGATGATGGGATAATGGGGTGGGATTGGGGTTTGGGATCAGCTCACCTCATGGCCAGGTACATGGGGTGATGGGATGATGGGATGATGGGATGGGATGATGGGATAAGGGGGTGGGATTGGGGTTTGGGAGCAGCTCACCTCATGGCCAGGTACATGGGGTGGATGGGATGATGGGATGGGATGATGGGGTGGTGGGATTGGGGTTTGGGAACAGCTCACCTCATGGCCAGGTACATGGGGTGATGGGATGATGGGATTGGGGTTTGGGAACAGCTCACCTCATGGCCAGGTACATGGGGTGATGGGATGATGGGATGGGATGATGGGATGGGATGATGGGATGATGGGGTGATAGGATGGTGGGATAGGGGTTTGGGAACAGCTCACCTCATGGCCAGGTACATGGGGCGGATGGGATGATGGGATGGGATGATGGGGTGATGGGATGGGATGATGGGGTGATGGGATGGGATGATGGGGTGATGGGATGATGGGGTGATGGGATGATGGGATGATGGGATGGGATGATGGGATGATGGGATGGGATGATGGGGTCATGGGATGGGATGATGGGGTGATGGGATGATGGGGTGATGGGATGATGGGATGATGGGATGGGATGATGGGATGGGGTGATGGGATGATGGGGTCATGGGATGGGATAATGGGGTGATGGGATGATGGGGTGATGGGATGATGGGATAGGGGTTTGGGAGCAGCTCACCTCATGGCCAGGTACATGGGGTGATGGGATGATGGGATGGGATGATGGGATGGGATGATGGGATGATGGGATAGGGGTTTGGGAGCAGCTCACCTCATGGCCAGGTACATGGGGCGGATGGGAGGATGGGATGATGGGATGATGGGACAGGATGATGGGATGATGGGATGATGGGATAGGGGGTTGGGAGCAGCTCACCTCATGGCCAGGTACATGGGATGGGGTGGGATGATGGGATGGGATGATGGGATGGTGGGATGGTGGGATTGGGATCAGCTCACCTCATGGCCAGGTACATGGGATGGGATGATGGGATGATGGGATTGGGTTTGGGATCAGCTCACCTCATGGCCAGGTACATGGGGTGATGGGATGATGGGATGGTGGGATGATGGGATGATGGGATGATGGGATAGGGGGTTGGGATCAGCTCACCTCATGGCCAGGTACATGGGGCGGATGGCGAAGAGCGGGAAGGTGTGCACCTTGATCATGATGGTCATGAAGGCCATGTAGAGCAGCACCTTGATGAACCCTGTAGGGGAAAAAGGGGACATGGGGGGCTGTGGGGGGCACAGGGGGCTCCAGGGCTGTGGGGACATGGGGGGACATGGGGGGCACAGGGGGCTGTGGGGGCACAGGGGGCTCCAGGGGCTGTGGGGGCCATGTAGAGCAGCACCTTGATGAACCCTGCAGGGGAAAAGGGGACATGGGGGGGACATGGGGGCCATGGGGGCACAGGGGGCACAGGGGGCTGTGAGGGCCATGTAGAGCAGCACCTTGATGAACCCTGCGGGGAAAAGGGGACATGGGGGCTGTGGGGGACATGGGGGCTGTGGGGGACATGGGGGCACAGGGAGGCACAGGGGGGACACAGGGACAGGGGGCCATGTAGAGCAGCACCTTGATGAACCCTGCGGGGGAGAAGGGGACATGGGGGCTGTGGGGGGACATGGGGGCTGTGGGGAGCACAAGGGGGCTGTGGGGGCACAGAGGGGGACACAGGGGCTGTGGGGGCCATGTAGAGCAGCACCTTGATGAACCCTGCGGGGGAGAAGGGGACATGGGGGGCACAGGGGGCACATGGGGGCTGTGGGGGCACAGGGGGCACAGGGGGGCTGTGGGGCCATGTAGAGCAGCACCTTGATGAACCCTGCGGGGGAGAAGGGGACATGGGGGACATGGAGGGCACAGGGGGCTGTGGGGGCACAGGGGGGACATGGGGGGCACAGGGGGGGCTGTGGGGGCCATGTAGAGCAGCACCTTGATGAACCCTGCGGGGACAGGGACACAGGAACAGTGGGGACACAGGAACAGCGGGGACACGGGCACGGGGGGGGTTTGGGCCCCCCAGGACCCAGATTTGGGGTCAGTACCAGTGAAAAGCTCGGTGTAGAGCATGAACAGGGGCACAGGGGGGGATTTGGGGTCCGATTTGGGGTCATTACCAGTGAAGAGCTCTGTGTAGAGCATGAACACGGGCACAGGGGGGGATTTGGGGATCCCCCAGACCCTGATTTGGGGGGTCTGAGCCCTGATTTGGGGTCAGTACCAGTGAAAAGCTCGGTGTAGAGCATGAACAGGGGCACAGGGGGGGATTTGGGGTCCCTTTTGGGGTCGTTACCAGTGAAAAGCTCGGTGTAGAGCATGAACAGGGGCACAGGGGGGGTTTTGGGGCCCCCCAGGACCCCGATTTGGGGGTCTGAGCCCTGATTTGGGGTCGTTACCAGTGAAAAGCTCGGTGTAGAGCATGAAGATGGCCTTGTTGTCCCAGGGGTTGTCGCTCTGCAGGTCGATGGAGTGCAGCACGTACTTGATGAAGATGGTCAGCACCATGGTCAGCAGCACTGCGTACTGGGGGGACATGGGGAGGTCAGGGGGTCACAGGGGGTCAGGGGTCCTGGGGGGTCAGGGGGTCACAGGGGGTCAGGGGGACACAGAGGGCTGCCATGGTCAGCAGCACCGCGTACTGGGGGTCTACAGGGGGTCACAGGGGGTCAGGGGGGTCATGGGGGTCACAGGGGGTCAGGGGTCCTGGAGGGGTCAGGGGTCACAGGGGGTCAGGGGGTCACAGCGGGGCTCAGGGTCACAGGGGGACATGGGGGGAGGCACAGGGGCTGCCATGGTCAGCAGCACTGTGTACTGGGGCACACGGGGGTCAGCAGCGGGGTCAGGGGGCTTGTGGGGGGCTAAGGGGGTCACAGGGGGTCAGGGGGGTCCTGGAGGGTCAGGGGGTCACACGGGGTCAGGGAGGACATGGAGCGGTCAGGGGGTTGCGGGGGGTCAGGGGGACACAGGGGGTCGGGGGGGTCACAGGGGGTCAGGGGACATGGGGGCTGCCATGGTCAGCAGCACCGCGCACTGGGGGACACAGGGGGTCACAGCGGGGTCAGGGGGCTCGTGGGGGCTAAGGGAGGTCACAGGGGGTCGGGGGGCATGGAGGAGTCAGGGGGTCACAGGGGGTCAGGGGGGACACGGGGGGGCTGCCATGGCCAGCAGGACAGCATAATGGGGGGACATGGGGGGGACATCCCAGGGGTCTGGGGGTCCCACCATGGACCATCCTGAAGGTTTGGGGGCCCCCCCAGGATCCATCCTGGGGGTTTTGGGGTCTCAGGGAGGTTTTTTGGGGTTCTCCCCAGGGTCCATCCCAGGGGGTTTTGGGGGTCCCCCCAGGGTCCATCCCGGGGGTTTGGGGGTCCCAGGGTGGTTTGGGGTTCCCCCCAGGGTCCGTCCCAGGAGGGTTTTGGGGTCCCCCTAGGGTCCATCCCGAGGGTTTGGGGGTCCCAGGGGGGTTTTTTGGGGTCCCCCCAGGGTCCATCCCAGGGGTTTGGGGGTCCCAGGGGGGTTTGGGGTCTCCCCAGGGTCCATCCTGTGGGTTTTGGGGTCCCCCCAGGGTCCATCCCAGGGGTCTGGGGGTCCCAGGAGGGTTTGGGGGTCCCCCCAGGGTCCATCCCGGGGGTTTTGGGGGTCCCCCTAGGGTCCACCCGGGGGTCTGGGGTCCCAGGGGTGTTTTGGGGTCCCAGGGGGGTTTTTTGGGGGTCCCAGGGGGGTTTTTGGGGGTCCCAGGGGGTCTGGGGGTCCCACCTCGAAGCCGAAGACGAGCTGGACGGAGGCGCCGCGGGTGAGGATGCTGTGATAGGCGTGGCTGACGAACAGCGAGTCCAGCACGGCCAGCAGGAGCATCAGCGCTGGGGGGGCACCAGTACGGACCAGTATGGACCAGTACGGAACAGCACGGACCAGTACGGACCAGTACGGACCAGTATGGAACAGCACGGAACAGCACAGACCAGTACAGACCAGTATGGAACAGCACAGACCAGTACAGACCAGTATGGCCTCCCAGGAACCTCCCAGTGCCCTCCCAGTACAGCCCAGTATGGACCTCCCAGTACAGCCCAGTATGGACCTCCCAGTACCCTCCCAGTACAGTCCAGTATGGACCTCCCAGTGCCCTCCCAGTACAGTCTAGTATGGACCTCCCAGTGCCCTCCCAGCACAGCCCAGTATGGACCTCCCAGTGTCCTCCCAGTACGGATCAGGATGGACCAGCATGGACCAGTACAGACCAGCATGGCCTCCCAGGAACCTTCCCAGTGCCCTCCCAGTACGGCCCAGTATGGCCTCCGAGGAACCTCCCAGTACCCTCCCAGTTCATCCCACTTCCTTCAAAAAATGGGGTTTGCCCAAAAACCCCCCCAATTCCTCCAAAAACGGCTTCTCCCAGCCCCAAATCCCCCTCTCCAGACCCAAAATCCCCCCAATTCCTCCCCAAACTGGTTTTATGTCCCCAAATCCCCCTTTCCCAGCCCCAGGGCTGAGCTCTGCTGGGGATTTGGGGCTTTGGGGTGGGGATTTGGGGCTTTGGGGTGGGGATTTGGGGTTTGAGGGTGGGGATTGGGGGCTTTGGGGTGGGGATTTGGGGTTTGGGGTGGGGATTTGGGGTTGGTGGGATTGGGGGCTTTGGGGTGGGGATTTGGGGATTTGGGGTGCGGATTTGGGGTCTGGGGTGGGGATTTGGGGCTTTGGGGTGGGGATTTGGGGTTTGGAGAGGGATTGGGGCTTTGGGGTGGGATTTGGGGTTTGGGGTGGGGATTTGGGGCTTTGGGGTGGGGATTTGGGGCTTTGGGGTGGGATTTGGGGATTTGGGGGTGATTGGGGGTCTGGGGTGGGATTTGGGGCTTTGGGGTGGGGATTTGGGGTTTGGAGAGGGATTTGGGGCTTTGGGGTGGGATTTGGGGTTTGGGGTGGGGATTTGGGGCTTTGGGGTGGGGATTTGGGGGTCTGGGGTGGGTTTTTCTTCCCCCAGAACCCCATTAGTGCTCCCTCGTTAACGAGCCCCCCCCCCAGCATGCAAATGAGGGGCCCAAATGACCCCAAAAGGGCCCCAAAAGGGCCCCAGAACTCACAGACGATGCGGAAGTGGAAGAGCCAGGAGATGTTGGGGCTTCGCTCCATCTGCGGAACGACACGAACGGGGGGGGTGGGTTGGTTGAGGTGCTTTTAGGGTAGTTTAGGTGGTTTTAGGGTTGGTTTGGGTGCTTTTAGGGCTGGTTTAGGGTTGGTTTAGGTGTTTTTAGGGCTGTTTTAGGGTGGGTTTTGGCTGTTTTAGGTGGTTTTAGGGCTGTTTTAGGGTGGTTTTAGGGCTGGTTTAGGACTTTTTAGGGCTGTTTTAGGGCTGTTTTAGGACTTTTTAGGGCTGTTTTAGGGCTGTTTTAGGTGTTTTTAGGGCTGTTTTAGGTGTTTTTAGGGCTGTTTTCCCCCTCCCAGCACTCACAAAGTCCACCCTGTCCTCAGTCAGCCAAGTTTAGAGCTGTTTTAGGGCGGTTTTAAGTGGTTTTAGGGTGGGTTTTGGCTGTTTTAGGGTTGTTTTAGTTGGGTTTAAGGCTGTTTTCGGTGTTTTTAGGGCTGTTTTAGGGTGGTTTTAGTTGGATTTAAGGCTGTTTTAGGTGTTTTTAGGGCTGTTTTAGGGTGGTTTTAGTTGGATTTAAGGCTGTTTTAGGTGTTTTTAGGGCTGTTTTAGGGTGGTTTTAGTTGGATTTAAGGCTGTTTTGGGTGTTTTAGGGCTTTTTTTCCTCCTCCCAGCATTCACAAAGTCCACCCTGTTCTCAGCCAGCCAGTTCAGGGCTGTTTTAGGGTGGTTTTAAGGCTGTTTTAGGTGGTTTCAGGGCTGTTTTTCCCCCCCCAGCACTCACAAAGTCCACCCTGTCCTCAGCCAGCCAGTTCAGGGCTGTTTTAGGGCTGTTATAGGTGTTTTTAGGGCTGTTTTAGGTGTTTTTAAGGCTGTTTTAGGTGTTTTTAGGGCTGTTTCCCCCCTCCCAGCACTCACAAAGTCCACCTTGTCCTCGGCCAGCCAGTTCAGGGCTAGTTTAGGGTGGTTTTAGGGCTGTTTTAGGTGTTTTTAGGGCTGTTTCCCCCCCCCAGCACTCACAAAGTCCACCCTGTCCTCGGCCAGCCAGTTCAGGGCTGTTTTAGGGTGGTTTTAGTTGGATTTAAGGCTGTTTTGGGTGTTTTTAGGGCTGTTTTGGGTGTTTTTAGAGCTGTTTTTTCTCCCCCAGCACTCACAAAGTCCACCCTGTCCTCGGCCAGCCAGTGGAAGCACTTGAGGAAGAGCAGGAGGGTGAAGAGGGCGACGAAGCGGGGGCTGAAATCGTCCCTGAAGACGGTGAAGGCCAAGCAGGTCTCGGTCACCGCGTACCAAGAGCGCTCCAGGAGGTGCTGGGGGGGCAGGGGGGGCTCAGGGGGGGCTCAGGGGGGGCCCCTGGCCTTGAACCCCCCTGGGCTGGACCCCAATGTGGGGGGAATCCACCCCAGAGTGGGGAGAAAAGGACATTTGGGGTTCAAAATCCACCCCAGAGTGGGGAAAAAAGGACATTTGGGACTCAAAATCCACCTCAGAGTGGGGAAAAAAGGACATTTGGGGTTCAAAATCCACCCCAGAGTGAGGAAAAAGGACATTTGGGGTTCAAAATCCACCCCAGAGTGGGGAAAAAGGACCTTTGGGGTTCAAAATCCACCCCAGAGTGGAGAGAAAGGACCTTTGGGGTTCAAAATCCACCCCAGGGTGGAGAAAAAGGACCTTTAGGGTTCAAAGTCCACCCCAGAGTGGAAAAAAAGAACATTTGGGGTTCAAAATCCACCCCAGAGTGGGGAAAAAGGACCCCTTGGGGTTCAAAATCCACCCCAGAGTGGGGAAAAAGAACCCTTGGGGTTCAAAATCCACCCCAGAGTGGGGAGAAAGGACTTTCAGGGTTCAAAATCCACCCCAGAGTAGGGAAAAAAGGACATTTGGGGTTCAAAATCCACCCCAGAGTGGAAAAAAAGGACATTTGGTGTTCAAAATCCACCCCAGAGTGGGGAAAAAGAACTCTTGGGGTTCAAAATCCACCCCAGAGTGGGGAAAAAAGGACCCCTTGGGGTTCAAAATCCACCCCAGGGTGGGGAAAAAGAACATTTGGGACTCAAAATCCACCCCAGAGTGGGGAAAAAGGACCTTTAGGGTTCAAAGTCCACCCCAGAGTGGAAAAAAAGAACATTTGGGGTTCAAAATCCACCCCAGAGTGGGGAAAAAGGACCCCTTGGGGTTCAAAATCCACCCCAGAGTGGAAAAAAAGAACATTTGGGGTTCAAAATCCACCCCAGAGTGGGGAAAAAGGACCCCTTGGGGTTCAAAATCCAGCCCAGAGTGGAAAAAAAGAACATTTGGGGTTCAAAATCCACCCCAGAGTGGGGTTCTTGGGGTTCAACAACCCCCTCCCCTCCCGGCACAAAAGGGTTCCCAGGATCCCAAAACCCTTCCCAAAATGAAACCAAAGTCCCCTGAGGATCCCAAATCCCCCCACCCCATAAAAAAAAAGGGTTCTGGAAGCCTCTTGAGGTTCAACCCCCCCCTCCCCTCCTCAAAAGAATCCAAAAAAATGGAATCAAAGCCCCCCCTGGGTCCAAAATCCCCCCCAAAAAAGGGGTTCTTGGGGTTCAACAACCCCCTCCCCTCCCCAAAGGGATCCAAAAAAATGGAATCAAAGCCCCCCTGGGTCCAAAATCCCCCCCAAAAAAGGGGTTTTTGGGGTTCAACAACCCCCTCCCATCCAAAGGGATCCAAAAAAATGGAATCAAAGCTCCCCCTGGGTCCAAAATCCCCCCCAAAAAAGGGGTTCTTGGGGTTCAACCCCCTCCTCTCCCAAAAGGATCCAAAAAATGGAATCAAAGCCCCCCCTGGGTCCAAAATCCCCCCCAAAAAAGGGGTTCTTGGGGTTCAACCCCCCCTCCCCTCCCCAAAAGGATCCAAAAAAATGGAATCAAAGCCCCCTCTGGGTCCAAAATCCCCCCAAAAAAGGGGTTCTTGAAGTTCAACCCCCCCTCCCCTCCAAAAGGATCCCAAAAAATGGAATCAAAGCCCCTCTGGGTCCAAAATCCCCAAAAAGGGGTTCTTGGGGTTCAACAACCCCTCCCTCCCCAAAAGGATCCAAAAAATGGAATCAAAGCCCCCTGGGTCCAAAATCCCCCCAAAAAAGAGGTTCTTGAGGTTCAACAACCCCCTCCCCTCCAAAAGGATCCCAAAAAAATGGAATCAAAGCTCCCTCTGGGTCCAAAATCCCCCCCAAAAAAGGGGTTTTTGGGGTTCAACCCCCCCCCTCCCATCCAAAGGGATCCAAAAAAATGGAATCAAAGCCCCCTCTGGGTCCAAAATCCCCCCCAAAAAAGGGGTTCTTGGGGTTCAACAACCCCCTCCCCAAAGGGATCCAAGAAAATGGAATTAAAGCCCCCCCTGGGTCCAAAATCCCCCCAAAAAAGGGGTTCTTGGGGTTCAACAACTCCCTCCCATCCAAAGGGATCCAAAAAATAGAATCAAAGCTCCCCCTGGGTCCAAAATCCCCCCAAAAAAGGGGTTCTTGGGGTTCAACCCCCCCTCCCCTCCAAAAGGATCCCAAAAAAATGGAATCAAAGCCCCCTCTGGGCCCAAAATCCCCCCCAAAAAAGGGGTTCTTGAGGTTCAACCCCCCCTCCCCTCTCCAAAAGGATCCAAAAAAATGGAATCAAAGCCCCCCCTGGGTCCAAAATCCCCCCCAAAAAAGGGGTTCTTGGGGTTCAACAACCCCCTCCCCTCCCCAAAGGGATCCAAGAAAATGGAATTAAAGACCCCCCTGGGTCCAAAATCCCCCCCAAAAAAGGGGTTCTTGGGGTTCAACCCCCCCTCCCCTCCAAAGGGATCCAAAAAAATGGAATCAAAGCCCCCTCTGGGTCCAAAATCCCCCCCAAAAAAGGGGTTCTTGGGGTTCAACCCCCCCTCCCCTCCAAAAGGATCCAAAAAAATGGAATCAAAGCCCCCCCTGGGTCCAAAATCCCCCCCCAAAACAACACCAGAGCCCCCAATCCCCCCCTCCCTCCCCCCATTCCCGAATTGGGGGGGTTCCCCAGGACTCACCTCCATCTCAGCCGCCCTGAGCTGCCCAAAAAACACCTTGCCCATGACCTTGCCCAGCAGGAACACCAGGACAAAGGCCTGGATGTACAAAACCTGGGGGAGGGGGGGACACCCCAAAAAGGAGCTTTTGGGGCCGGCCACGACCACTTTGGGGCACCCAAAATTTGAGTTTGTGAGGGGGAAACACAAAGGCCTGGATGTACAAAACCTGGGGGAGGGGGGGACACCCCAAAAAAGGAGCTTTTGGGGCCGGCCACGACCACTTTGAGGCACCCAAAATTTGAGTTTGTGAGGGGGGGACACAAAGGCGACAGAGAGGAGCCCCCAGCCCGTTTTTTGGGGGGTCCTGAGCGAGCTGTGGGGGTGTCCCAGTGCTGTCCCAACACCCCCCAAGGTGTCACCCACCCCCCACCCCCTCTGTGGGATTTTTGGGGAGCGTCACCAAACCCCAAATGGCACCCTTTTTGTCCCTGTGCCCCCCCAAATGTCCCTGCACCCCCCCAAATGCCCCTCCACCCCAAAATGTCCTCTCCACCCCCCAAATGTCCCTCCACCCCCAAACCCTCTGTGCCCCCAAATGTCCCTCCACCCCCAAATGTCCCTCCACCCCCAAACCCTCGGGGCCCCCAAATGTCCCCTCCACCCCCAAACTCTCTGTGCTCCCCCATTCCCCTCAGCCCAGGGTCTCCTGGACCCCTCCCGTCCCCCAGCCCAGGGGTCCCCAGAGCCCCCTGTCACCCCCAGCCCAGGGGTCTCTCCATCCCCAAACCCCCACCCCCTCCCCAGAACTCACTGGGCCCACCCCGGGGTCTCCCTTTCCCCTCCCCTCACCCCGGGGTCTCCCCTTCCCCTCCCCATCCCAGGGGTCTCCCTTTACCCTCCCCATCCTGGGGTCTCCTTTTCCTCCTCACTCCGGGGTCTCCCCTTTACCCTCCCCATCCTGGGGTCTCCCTTCCCCCTCACCCCAGGGGTCTCCCCTTCCCCCTCACCCTGGGGGTCTCCCCTTTCCCCCTCACCCGGGGTCTCTCCCCTTCCCCCATCCTGGGGGTCTCCCCCCCTTTCCCCTCCCCCCAGGGGGTTTTTTGGGAGCGTCACCAAACCCCAAAGGCGCCGTTTCCGTCCCCCAAAAGCAGAACTGAGATCTCCCCCCACCTCCCTCCCCCCCAGCGCTAATTAAAGGGCTTAATTAAAGAGTTAACGAAGCACTCACGGCCATGCTGGGGCTGGACTTGGTGAGATAAACCACGGTGGGGTAGAACTGGTGCTTCAGGTAATAGGCGTGGGCAACCACGGCCGTGGTGAGGGCCAGGCTGCCCATCATCACCAGAGCTGTGCACAGCATGGCCCCTGTCCCAAAAACAGCCAAAATCACCCCAAAATCATCCCCAAATCATCCCCAAAATCATCCCAAAATCACCCCAAAATCATCCCCAAAATCACCCCAAAATCATCCCAAAATCAACCCAAAATCATCCCCAAAATCATCCCCAGCACCACGGCCGTGGTGAGGGCCAGGCTGCCCATCATCACCAGAGCTGTGCACAGCATGGCCCCTGCCCCAAAAACACCCAAAATCATCCCCAAATCATCCCCAAAATCATCCCAAAATCATCCCAGAATCATCCCCAAAATCACCCCAAAATCATCCCCAGCACCACGGCCGTGGTGAGGGCCAGGCTGCCCATCATCACCAGAGCTGTGCACAGCATGGCCCCTGCCCCAAAAACACCCAAAATCAACCCAAAATCATCCCCAAATCATCCCCAAAATCATCCCAAAATCATCCCAAAATCATCCCAAAATCACCCCAAAATCATCCCCAGCACCACGGCCGTGGTGAGGGCCAGGCTGCCCATCATCACCAGAGCTGTGCACAGCATGGCCCCTGCCCCAAAAACACCCAAAATCAACCCAAAATCACCCAAAATCATCGCCAGCACCACGGCCGTGGTGAGGGCCAGGCTGCCCATCATCACCAGAGCTGTGCACAGCATGGCCCCTGCCCCAAAAACAGCCAAAATCAACCCAAAATCATCCCCAAATCATCCCCAAAATCATCCCCAAATCATCCCCAAAATCATCCCCAAAATCACCCCAAAATCACCCCAAAATCATCCCCAAATCATCCCCAGCACCACGGCCGTGGTGAGGGCCAGGCTGCCCATCATCACCAGAGCTGTGCACAGCATGGCCCCTGCCCCAAAAACACCCAAAATCAACCCAAAATCATCCCCAAATCATCCCCAAAATCATCCCAAAATCACCCCAAAATCATCCCCAAAATCATCCCAAAATCATCCCAAAATCATCCCCAAAATCATCCCAAAATCATCCCCAGCACTCACGTGCCGTGGTGAGGGCCAGGCTGCCTATCATCACCAGAGCTGTGCACAGCATGGCCCCTGCCCCAAAAACACCCAAAATCACCCCAAAATCATCCCCAAATCATCCCCAAAATCATCCCCAAATCATCCCCAAATCATCCCCAAATCATCCCCAAAATCATCCCAAAATCATCCCCAGCACCACGGCCGTGGTGAGGGCCAGGCTGCCCATCATCACCAGAGCTGTGCACAGCATGGCCCCTGCCCTAAAACAGCCAAAATCAACCCAAAATCATCTCTAAATCATCCCCAAATCATCTCCAGCACCACGGTCGTGGTGAGGGCCAGGCTGCCTATCATCACCAGAGCTGTGCACAGCATGGCCCCTGCCCCAAAAACACCCAAAATCATCCCAAAATCATCCCCAAATCATCCCCAAAATCACCCCAAAATCATCCCAAAATCATCCCCAAAAACACCCAAAATCATCCCCAAAATCATCCCAAAATCAACCCAAAATCACCCCAAAATCATCCCCAGCACCACGGCCGTGGTGAGGGCCAGGCTGCCCATCATCACCAGAGCTGTGCACAGCATGGCCCCTGTCCAAAACCACCCAAAATCAACCCAAAATCATCCCCAAAATCATCCCCAAATCATCCCCAAAATCAACCCAAAATCAACCCAAAATCACCCCAAAATCATCCCCAGCACCACGGCCGTGGTGAGGGCCAGGCTGCCCATCATCACCAGAGCTGTGCACAGCATGGCCCCTGCCCCAAAAACACCCAAAATCACCCCAAAATCATCCCCAAATCATCCCCAAAATCATCCCAAAATCATCCCCAAAATCATCCCCAAAATCATCCCCAAAATCATCCCCAAAATCACCCCAAAATCATCCCCAAAATCATCCCAAAATCACCCCAAAATCATCCCCAGCACCATGGCCGTGGTGAGGGCCAGGCTGCCCATCATCACCAGAGCTGTGCACAGCATGGCCCCTATCCAAAAACACCCAAAATCACCCCAAAATCATCCCCAAATCATCCCCAAAATCATCCCAAAATCAACCCAAAATCATCCCAAAATCACCCCAAAATCATCACCAGAGCTGTGCACAGCATGGCCCCTGTCCCCAAAACACCCAAAATCAACCCAAAATCATCACCAGAGCTGTGCACAGCATGGCCCCTGTCCAAAAACACCCAAAATCACCCCAAAATCATCCCAAAACACCCCAAAATCATCACCAGAGCTGTGCACAGCATGGCCCCTGTCCAAAAACAGCCAAAATCAACCCAAAATCATCACCAGAGCTGTGCACAGCATGGCCCCTGCCCCAAAAAATACACAAAATCACCCCAAAATCATCACCAGAGCTGTGCACAGCATGGCCCCTGTCCCAAAAATACACAAAATCACCCCAAAATCACCCAAAATCATCACCAGAGCTGTGCACAGCATGGCCCCTGTCCCAAAAATACACAAAATCACCCCTAAAATCATCACCAGAGCTGTGCACAGCATGGCCCCTGTCCCAAAAATACACAAAATCACCCCAAAATCACCCAAAATCATCACCAGAGCTGTGCACAGCATGGCCCCTGTCCCAAAAATACACAAAATCACCCCAAAATCATCACCAGAGCTGTGCACAGCATGGCCCATGTCCCAAAAATACACAAAATCACCCCAAAATCATCACCAGAGCTGTGCACAGCATGGCCCCTGTCCCAAAAATACACAAAATCACCCCAAAATCACCCAAAATCACCCAAAATCATCACCAGAGCTGTGCACGGCATGGTCCCTGCTCAGAGACACCCAAAACCGCCCCTTTTCACCCCAAAACTGACCCCCCTGTCCCCCCCTCCGGGGGTCTCCCCCTTTACTCCCCCCCTCACCCTGGGGGTCTCCCCCTTCACTCCCCCCCAATTCCGGGGGTCTCTCCCCCTCAGTCCCCCCCAGTCCCGGGGGTCTCCCCCCCTCATTGTCCCTCACCCCGGGGGTCTCCCCTTTACTCCCCCCAAAACCCCGGGGGTCTCCCCCTCCCGGGGTCTCTCCACACCCCCACTCACCGGGCCGGTCCTGCTCGGCCCGGGGTCTCCCCTTACTCCCCCCAATCCCGGGGTCTCCCCTTCACTCCCCTCACCCTGGGGTCTCCCCCTCAGCGTCCCCCAGGGTCTCTCCCCTGCACTCACTGGGCCGGTCCTGCTCGGCCCGGGGTCTCCCTTACTCCCTGCCCCATCCCGGGGTCTCCCCTCAGTCCCCTCTCCCCGGGGTCTCCCCCTCAGTCCCCCTCCCCGGGGTCTCTCCCCCCACCCCGTACTCACCGGGCCGGTCCTGCTCAGCCCGGGGTCTTCCCTTACTCCCCCTCATCCTGGGGTCTCTCCCCTCCCGGGGTCTCCCCCTCAGTCCCCCTCCCCGGGGGTCTCTCCCCTCCCCCGCACTCACCGGGCCGGTCCCGCTCGGCCCGGGGTCTCCCCTTCACTCCCTCTCACCCCGGGGGTCTCTCCTCCCTCCCCGGGGGTCTCCCTCAGTGTCCCCCGGGGTCTCTCCTTCCCTCGGGGGTCTCTCCCACACCCCCACTCACCGGGCCGGTCCCGCTCGGCCCAGGGTCTCCCCTTACTCCCCCAATCCCGGGGTCTCTCCCTCCCCGGGGTCTCCCCCTCAGTGTCCCCCTCCTCGGGGTCTCTCCCCCTCCCCCTGCACTCACCGGGCCGGTCCCGCTCGGCCCGGGGTCTCCCCTTCACTCCCCTCACCCTGGGGTCTCTCCCCCCTCCGGGGGTCTCCCCCTCAGTCCTCCCCCTCCCCGGGGGGTCTCTCCCCCCTCCCCGCACTCACCGGGCCGGTCCCGCTCGGCCCCCCCCGCCCAGGCCGCGCCCACCCCGGAACCGCCGCGGCGCGCGACACCTCACTTCCGCCCCGGCCCGCGCCACCCGCTGCCCGCGGGGGGGGGGGATTGAAGGATTTCGCTCCCTCCCAGCTCCGCGCCCCCGCGCCGCTCCCCGCCACAACGGCTCGTCTCTGCACTGACAGTGAGAGGCCCCCGTTTTTCTCCCGTCGCGCGGCGCGGGAGATTGGAGAACCCACCAAACCCGCTGCGTTCCCCCCCCGCACGCCCGCACTTGGTACGGCCCGAGCCGCCCCTCAGACGGAGCGGAGGGGGGGGCGGGACCGCCGAGGGTCCCGTGTCTCGCGCTGATTGGCCAGACCCGGCGCGGCTCAGCCAATCAGAAAAATTCCCCGGCGCGGCGCCGCTTGGCCGGTGGTTGTTGCTATGGGAGGGGCGGCGCGGGCGAGGGCGAGCGACCACCCCCTCAGCCCCCTCGGGAGCGCCCAAACCGAGCCGGGGTTGCCTTTTGTCGCCTTTTCCCCCCACGTCTCGCCTCACGCTCGACGCTTCGTGTCCCCATTTTTGCCCTCGGGCGCCCCCGAACGCCTCGCGCGGCGCCGCGGCCGCCCCACCCTTCACACTTCTCCCTCACGGCGCTCAGCCAATCGGTGACGCCGTCTCTGCGTTCCGCCTCGCTGATTGGCTGACTTGGCCCAGCGTCCCGCCTCCCTGCCTTTGACGGACAGCGGTGGCTGAGGGGAAGGGGCGGGGCTTACTCCTTTCTCCGTCTTTTTATTGGCTGACAGCGCGCTTGGGGGCGGGGTTATTGTGGGTCCGCCCCCTTTTCGCTGAGGGGAAAAGGGCGGGAAAGCGCCGGAGCTCCTGAGGGGTTTTTTTTTTTTCCTACTTTTCCCTTTTCCTGAGGGGAAAAGCGATCTCCATGAGGTGAATTTACCAGCGTTTATCGAGAGGCGGCTGCGCCCGGCGCTCTGAGGTGAAAAAAAGCTTTAAATCTTTTTCTGTTTTAATTTTCCCCCCTTTGTTTTGGTCTTACTGTGGCGAGGAAAGCGGGATTTGAAGGGGGGAATGTTTCCAGCTTTGAGGGCTCTGCTGTGCCTTTGTCCTGTGCCCGTTTAATCATTCCTTGGCATCAAAGCAGAAGGCAAACTGAAGTGTTTTTTTAGGCCCTTTAAGTACTCTTTCGTTGGAAAATCCCCTGAGGAGGGAAGAGAAAATTATTCACTTTTATCTCACGAGAACCAAATTTTGATGCCTCTGGGTGCAAATAAACTTTTTAACAGTAGAATGCGGTACAGTGGGTATGAAAATTCTCCCCGTTTTGTCTTTTCAACTTAGTATTTTCTCTCTTTTGTTTTTTTAACTCGGTATTTCTCTTCTTTTTTTTGTGTGTGTTTTTTAAGCCAGATTTCCTTCTCACGCTTTTTTTTTTTTTATTTTTACCCCAGGATTTTTCCCCTTTTTTTAACCCCAGACTTCTCCACCTGCACCAAGAGGAACGCGACGCCTTCTTCACCCTCCTGGGTAAGAAACGACCCCCAAATCCCCCCAAAACGGGGAAAACCCACCCCTGGGGTTACAAAACCCCCAAACTGGCTGGTTTTCCCCCAAAAAAAAATCACTTTTATGCTGTTTCTCTCCTCCCCAGGGAACCACTGATGAAGGAATTCCTTCCTCCTGACCGGCGTTTGCTGCAGGGGCTGCAATGAGGTCAGTCCTTCCCAAACCAGCTTGTTATTTTATTTGGAACATAAAATACCTTTTTGCCTAAATTCAGCTGCTCTTTCTTTTGCCCAAAATGGTTGTTTTTCTCCCCATTTTGCAGGACCTGCTGTCCATGGCACCAACAAATGGAGTGTGTGGGGCTACAACCCCCTCAGCCTCTTCACTGCCCTGTGAGTACCTTCATTAGGGACATAATTACCCCTGATTTGGGGTAAAACCCCCTGGAATTGGGGCCTTCCCAGACCTGCTGATTTGGGGTAAAACCCCCTGGAATTGGGACCCCCCCAGACTCACTGATTTGGGGTAAAAAAACCCTGGAATTGGGACCTTCCCAGACCTGCTGGTTTGGGGTAAAACCCCCTGGAATTGGGGCCTTCCCAGACCTGCTGGTTTGGGGTAAAACCCTCTGGAATTGGGACCCCCCCAGACTCACTGATTTGGGGTAAAACCCCCTGGAATTGGGACCCCCCAGATTCACTGATTTGGGGTAAAAAAACCCTGGAATTGGGACCCCCCCAGATTCACTGATTTGGGGTAAAACCCCCTGGAATTGGGACCCCCCCCAGACCTGCTGATTTGGGGTAAAACCCCCTGGAATTGGGACACCCCCCAGCCCCCTCCTGCCTCCCCATTTTCACGCCAAAGCAGTGGAAAACAGGCAGTGTGTGTTAAAAAATCGCTATTTTGGTCTTTTTTGGGGGAAAAAATGGGGGAAAAGGCAGAAAATGGGGGAAAAGGCAGAAAATGGGGGAAAAGGCAGAACTGGGGGGGTGTGGATGGGGGGTCTCAAGGGGGGTCTCTGCACCCCCTTTTCCCCATCCTGGAGCTGTTTCTCTCCCCCCAGGGCAGCAGGACCCGGCCCCGGGCTCAGGTAGGGACAGCGACACCTCCCCCACACGCGTCACATGCGTGTCACACGCGTGTTCCACACGTCCTGCTCGCACCCACCCGGGTGTGCCCCGAGCCCCCCCCCACACGTGTGTGTGTGTGTGTGTGCCACGCGTGTCCCAGCTCCGTGTGCGGGACTCAGGCGTGTCCCAAGCGTGTTCTATGTGTGACCCATGTGTGTGCCACGCGTGTCCCAGCTCCCTGTGCGGGACTCAGGCGTGTCCCAAACATGTTCTATGTGTGACCCATGTGTGTGCCACGTGTGTCCCAGCTCCCTGTGCGGGACTCAGGCGTGTCCTAAGTGTGTTGTGTGTGTGACCCACGCGTGTCCCAGCTCCCTGTGCGGGACTCAGGCGTGTCCTAAGTGTGTTGTGTGTGTGACCCACGCGTGTCCCAGCTCCATGTGCGGGACTCAGGTGTGTCCCAAGTGTGTTGTGTGTGTGACCCATGTGTGTGCCATGCGTGTCCCAGCTCCCTGTGTGGGACTCAGGTGTGTCCCAAGCATGTTGTGTGTGTGCCACGCATGTCCCAGCTCCCTGTGCGGGACTCAGGCGTGTCCCAAGCATGTTGTGTGTGTGACCCACGTGTGACCCATGTGTGTCCCACTCCTGCACGTGTGTCCCATGTATGACCCACACGTGTCCCAGCTCTGTGTGTGGGACTCAGGCGTGTCCCAAGCATGTTGTGTGTGTGACCCATGTGTGTCCCACTCCTGCACGCATGTCCCGTGTATGACCCACGTGTGTCCCAGCTCTGCACGCGTGTCCCAGGCGTGTCCAGCTCCCCTCCCGTGTCCCACAAACTGTCCAGCCCCCCCCCAGCCACCAAACGCGTCCCACGCGTGTCCAGTCCCCTCCTCATGTGTCCCACACGCGTGTCCAGCCCTTCCCCCATGTCCCCCCCCCATGTCCCGGGCACTCCCCCTCCCCATTCCGCCCCCGTCAATGCGGCAAAACCCCCGAGAGCCCCAAAACCCCAAAAACCGCCCCAAAAACACCCCCCAAAAACCGCCCCAAAGTTGCTTTGTGTCCCCCCCTTTTCCCCTGCTGGTGAGGGAGGGAGGGAGGGAGGGGAGGGGAGAGGGAGCGGCGCAGGGAGGAGTCTCGGGGTGGGGGCGGCCTCTCCTTCCTGCTCGAGGAAGTTTGGGCAGAGAAATTTCGCCTTTTCCGCGAATTCTGCCCCCAAAAAAAAGCGGCGGGTCCGGGAGCGCCGCCCCCCCCACCCCGAGGTAGGTCCTGCCAGCGCCGGGAGGTGACAGCGGTGACACCCGAGGGGAGGGGACAGCGGTGACACAGCGGGACCCGCCGCTTACACAACCCCCCTCCCCGCCCCGGGATTGGGGCAAAACCCCGCGGAAACGGGCAAAAAAAAAAACCCACCACCCGCGGGGCTTTCTCCTCCCTGCCCGCAGCCGGGAAAAGGGGTGGGAGCAGAGGGAGCTCCCCCCCCCGAGCCCCGGTTTAGCCAAAAAAGGAGTTTTTTGGGGGGTTAAATTGATTTTGGGGGGGTTTTGGGGGTGTTTTTGGGGGAAGTTCCGCGGTTTTTGATGCCTTTCCCGGGGTTTTTGTCCCGCAGCACCACGGGAGCAGCGGCACCTGAGGAGTGGCCGGGCCCAGCCCTCGCCCCCCACGGCACCTGCCGGGGCTCCAGGGCCCCGAAACGGGGTGAAAACAGCCGGTTTTGGGTCCTCTCACCCCAAACACGTACGTGGGGGGCTCGGGGGGGGCAAAGGGTCTCTGCCCCTCAGGGTGGGGGGGCCCAGGGAAGTTTGGGGTGGGGGGGAGGAACCCCCAGGGCACAGACACAGTCAGAGACTCCCCCAGCCCTCGTTTTGGGGATAATTTGTGGTGTTTTGGGTCACAGTCCCCAGGTCTGGGGTGTCCTCACCACCCCCCTCAGGGCCAGGGAGGGTTTTGGGGTGACCCAAACCCCCTTGTTTGGACCCATTTTGGGGGGGGGCTGCTCCACCCCCACCCTTGTTCCCGCTCTGTCACTGCTTGGTGGCACTAATTAGCATCTAATTAACGCGCCCCATGCTTAATTAAGCTCTGCCATGCTTAATTAGCACCCCCCAAGGGTAAGGGAGCCCCGGGGCCTTGAACCCTGAGCCTGGGGCGCGGCCCGGCCACACCTCGACCTGCACGACCAGTTTGGGGCACTTTCCTTTCATTCTGGGGCACTTTCCCCCCATTTTGGGACATTTTCCTTTCCCTTTAGGTCACCTCCCCTCATTTTGGGTCACTTCCCCTCATTTTGGGGCACTTTCCCCCCATTTTGGGGCATTTTTCTTTCCTTTTAGGTCACCTCCCCTCATTTTGGGTCACTTCCCCTCATTTTGGGGCATTTTACTTTCATTTTGGGTCACTTCCCCTCATTTTGGGGCATTTTACTTTCATTTTGGGGCACTTTCCCCCCATTTTGGGGCATTTTCCTTTCCCTTTAGGTCACTTCCCCTCATTTTGGGGCACTTTCCCCCCTGTTTTGGGTCACTTTCCCCCCTGTTTTGGGGCACTTTCCCCCCATTTTGGGGCATTTTCCTTTCATTTTGGGTCACTTCCCCTCATTTTGGGGCACTTCCCCTCATTTTGGGGCACTTTCCCCCCATTTTGGGGCACTTTCCCCCCATTTTGGGGCACTTCCCCTCATTTTGGGGCACTTTCCCCCCATTTTGGGGCACTTCCCCTCATTTTGGGGCACTTTCCCCCCATTTTGGGGCACTTTTCCCCCGTTTTGGGGCACTTTCCCCTCCTTTCCTCCCAGTTTGGGGCTGCCCCGTGTCAGAACCAGCAGGTTTTTATCCCCTCGGGGCCATTTTGGGGTTAAACCCTAGGATTTTGGGCCCCTGGGGGTGACGAGCCCTGAGCAGCTGCGGTTGGGGCCATCCAGGGCTTCCCAGCCTCTGGAATTCCTTGGGATTCCCACTTTGTCCCCGATCACCCCCAATCACGGCTCAGGCAGGGCCCCAATTCTGGGAGGTTTCTGCCATTTCTGGGCGTTTCTTTTGGCTTTTTGTCCCCAAAATTCCCCTCTGCGGGCCCAGAATCGACCTCTGGGTTTGACCAACCCCAAATGTGGCTTTTTTTTTTGGGGGGGGGGGGCTGAATTTATTGATTTTCTTGCAAATGACTTGTGGGGGGGGGGATCTTAACACAGACCCCAAGGCCCCAAAATCCCTCATCTTCCCCAAAAAACCCCCTGAATTCCCCCAAAACCCCGGAATCCTCCTCAAGATCCGTGTGTAGGGCCTGGGGGTGTCCCTGTGTCCCCAATCCCTGTTCCCAATCCCATTTTCTCCCCCTCAGGATGTCAGAAGCCCCCATCACCCCTGTGTACTGCACGGGGGTGTCCCCAATCCCATTTTTTCCCATTTTTTCCCATTTTTTCCCATTTTCACCCATATTTTCTCCCCCCAGGATGTCAGAATCCCCCATCACCCCGGTGTACTGCACGGGTGTGTCCCCAATCCCATTTTTTCCCCATTTTCTCCCCCCAGGATGTCAGAAACCCCCATCACCCCGGTGTACTGCACGGGGGTGTCCCTGTGTCCCCAATCCCTGTTCCCAATCCCATTTTTCCCTGTTTTTCCCCCCCAGGATGTCAGAAGCCCCCATCGTCCCCGTGTACTGCACGGGGGTGTCCCTGTGTCCCTGATCCCTGTCCCCAATCCCATTTTTCCCTGTTTTTCTCCCCCCAGGATGTCAGAATCCCCCATCACCCCGGTGTACACCACGGGGGTGTCCCCAATCCCATTTTCCCATTTTCCCATTTTCACTGTTTTCCCCATTTTCTCCCCCAGGATGTCAGAAGCCCCATCACCCTGGTGTACACCACGGGGTGTCCCAATCCCATTTTTCCCATTTTCCCCATTTTCTCCCCCCCAGGATGTCAGAGGCCCCCATCATCCCCGTGTACACCACGGGGGTGTCCCCAATCCCATTTTTTCACTGTTTTTCCCTGTTTTTCCCCCCCAGGATGTCAGAAGCCCCCATCACCCGGTGTACACCACGGGAGTGTCCCATCCATATTTCCCATTTTTCACTGTTTTCCCATGTTTCCCATTTCCCCCAGGATGTCAGAAGCCCCCATCACCCCGTGTACACCACGGGGGTGTCCCCAATCCCATTTTTCCCATTTTTCCTGTTTTCCCCAGGATGTCAGAATCCCCATCTCCCTGTGTACTCGCAGGGGTGTCCCTAATCCCATTTTTCCCATTTTTCCATTTTTTCCCATTTTCTCCCCCCAGGATGTCAGAAGCCCCCATCGTCCCCGTGTACTGCACGGGGGTGTCCCCAATCCCATTTTTTCCCCATTTTCTCCCCCCAGGATGTCAGAAGCCCCCATCACCCCTGTGTACTGCACGAGGGGTGTTCCTGTGTCCCTGATCCCTGTCCCCAATCCGATTTTTCCCCATTTTTTCCCATTTTTCCCCATTTTTTCCCTGTTTCTCCCCCCAGGATGTCAGAAGCCCCCATCGTCCCCGTGTACTGCACGGGGGTATCCCCAATCCCATTTTTTCACTGTTTTTCACTGTTTTTCACTGTTTTTCCCCATTTTCTCCCCCCAGGATGTCAGAATCCCCCATCACCCCTCTGTACTGCATGGGTGTGTCCCTGTGTCCCTGATCCCTGTTCCCAATCCCATTTTTCCCCATTTTCACCCATATTTTCTCCCCCCAGGATGTCAGAAGCCCCCATCGTCCCCGTGTACACCACGGGGGTGTCCCTAATCCCATTTTCCCCATTTTTCTTTTTCCCATTTTCTCCCCAGGATGTCAAGCCCCCATCACCCGTGTACACCACGGGGTGTCCCTAATCCCATTTTTCCCATTTTCTCCCCCCAGGATGTCAGAATCCCCCATCACCCTGTGTACACCACGGGTGTCCCTAATCCCATTTTCCCATTTTTCACTGTTTTTCCTGTTTTCTCCCCCAGGATGTCAGAATCCCCCATCACCTGTACCCACGGGGTGTCCCCAATCCCATTTTTCTCCCCCAGGATGTCAGAATCCCCATCACCCCGTGTGTACCACGGGGTGTCCCCAATCCATTTTTCCCATTTTTCTATTTTCACTGTTTTCCCCATTTTCTCCCCCAGGATGTCAGAAGCCCCCATCACCCCGGTGTACACCACAGGGGTGTCCCCAATCCATTTTCCCATTTTTACCCATATTTTCTCCCCCAGGATGTCAGAATCCCCATCACCCCGTGTGCACACGGGGTGTCCCCAATCCATTTTCCCCATTTTCTCCCAGATGTCAAAGCCCCATCACCGTGTCACGGGGTGTCCCCAATCCCATTTTTCACTGTTTTCCTGTTTTCCCCCAGGATGTCAGAGCCCCATCGTCCCCGTGTACTGCACGGGGTGTCCTAATCATTTTTCCCATTTTTTCCCATTTTTCACTCGTTTTTCCCATTTTCTCCCCCAGGATGTCAGAAGCCCCCATCATCCCCGTGTACACCACGGGGTGTCCCAATCCCATTTTTTCCCATTTTTTTCACTGTTTTCCCATTTTCTCCCCCAGGATGTCAGAATCCCCATCACCCTGTGTGTACCACAGGGTGTCCTGTCCCTGATCCCTGTCCCCACGATTCCCATTTTTACCCATTTTTTTCCCTGTTTCTCCCCCAGGATGTCAGAAGTCCCCATCACCCCGGTGTTCTGCACGGGGGTGTCCCCAATCCCATTTTTTCACTGTTTTTCACTGTTTTTCCCCATTTTCTCCCCCCAGGATGTCAGAATCCCCATCACCTCTGTGTACTGCACGGGGTGTCCTGTGTCCCTGATCCCTGTCCCCAATCCCATTTTCCTCCCATTTCTCCCAGGATGTCAGGCCCTGTTCTGTGTACACCACGGGTGTCCTAATCCCATTTTTCCTTTTCCCCCAGGATGTCAGTTCCCCATCACCCCTCAGGGTGTCCCAATCCTTATACCCCGGTGTACCCACAGGGGTGTCCCTGTGTCCCCGATCCCTGTCCCAATCCCATTTTCCTGTTTTCACTGTTTCCCCATTCTCCCCCAGGATGTCAAGCCCATCACCCCTGTCACTGTGTTATCCCACTTTTGTCTTTCATTTTCTCCCCCAGGATGTCAGACCCCCATCACCCCGTGTACACCACGGGGTGTCCCTGTGTCCCCGATCCTGTCCCCAATCCCATTTTTTCATTTTTCCCCATTTTCTCCCCAGGATGTCAGCCCCATCACCCCTGTGTACACCACGGGGGTGTCCCAATCCAATTTTCCCATTTTTTCCCCATTTTCTCCCCCCAGGATGTCAGAGGCCCCCATCACCCCTGTGTACACCACGGGGGTGTCCCCAATCCCATTTTTTCACTGTTTTTCCCCATTTTCTCCCCCAGGATGTCAGAATCCCCCATCACCCCGGTGTACACCACGGGAGTGTCCCTGTGTCCCTGATCCCTGTTCCCAATCCCATTTTTTCCCTGTTTTTCTCCCCCAGGATGTCAGAGGCCCCCATCACCCCTGTGTACACCACGGGGGTGTCCCCAATCCCATTTTTTCACTGTTTTTCCCCATTTTCTCCCCCCAGGATGTCAGAATCCCCCATCACCCCGGTGTACTGCACGGGGGTGTCCCTGTGTCCCCGATCCCTGTCCCCAATCCCATTTTTCACTGTTTTTCACTGTTTTTCCCCATTTTCTCCCCCCAGGATGTCAGAAGCCCCCATCACCCCGGTGTTCTGCACGGGGGTGTCCCCAATCCCATTTTTTCACTGTTTTTCACTGTTTTCCCCATTTTCTCCCCCAGGATGTCAGAAGCCCCCATCACCCCTGTGTACACCACGGGGGTGTCCCTGTGTCCCCGATCCCTGTCCCCAATCCCATTTTTATTCATTTTTTCCCCATTTTCTCCCCCCAGGATGTCAGAATCCCCCATCACCCCGGTGTACACCACGGGGGTGTCCCCAATCCCATTTTTTCTCCCCCCAGGATGTCAGAATCCCCCATCACCCCTGTGTACACCACGGGGGTGTCCCCAATCCCATTTTTTCCCATTTTTTCCCATATTTTTTCCCGTTTTTTCCCATTTTTCCTCATTTTTTCCCCCATTTTCTCCCCCAGGATGTCAGAGTCCCCCATCACCCCTGTGTACACCACGGGGGTGTCCCCAATCCCATTTTTTCCCATTTTTTCACTGTTTTTCCCTGTTTTTCTCCCCCAGGATGTCAGAATCCCCCATCACCCCGGTGTACTGCACGGGGGTGTCCCTGTGTCCCTGATCCCTGTCCCCAATCCCATTTTTACCCATTTTTTCCCCATTTTCCCCCCCAGGATGTCAGAATCCCCCATCACCCCGGTGTACACCACGGGGGTGTCCCTGTGTCCCTGATCCCTGTCCCCAATCCCATTTTTTCACTGTTTTTCCCCATTTTTCCCCTGATTTTCTCCCCCCAGGATGTCAGAAGCCCCCATCACCCCTGTGTACACCACGGGGGTGTCCGCTCAGGTGCAGCGGGCGCGGGCGAAGGAGCAGGGGCTGGGCCGGCACGACCGGGCCGTGCGGTACCTGGGGCAGGATTTCGGCGCCCTGGCCGAGCAGTGCCGGCGCTCGGGGAGCCTCTTCAGGGACCCCACGTTCCCGGCGGGGCCCTCGGCCCTGGGCTTCAAGGAGCTGGGCCCCGGCAGCGCCAAGACCCACGGAGTGCAGTGGATGAGGCCCACGGTGCCAGGGGGGCTGGGGGAGCTTTTGGGGAGGGGGGTTTAGGGGAGGTTTGGTTGGTTGGTATGGGGTTTTGGGGGGGTTTGGTGGAGTTTGGGGGAGGTTTCGGTGCGGTTTGGGGGGGTTTGGGGGATGTGGGTGAGGTTTTGGTGCATTATGGGGTGGTTCCTGTGTGGTTTTGGGGTGTTTTGGTGGCTGTGGGTGAGGTTTAGGGGTGTTCTATGTGTTTCTGGGGTGTTTTGGTGGCTGTGGGCGAGGTTTGGGGGGGTTCCTGTGTGATTTTGGTGTGTTTTGGTGGCTGTGGGCGAGGTTTTGGGGTGTTCTATGTGATTTTGGGGTATTTTGGTGGCTGTAGGGCAGGTTTTGGGGTGTTTTGGTGGCTGTAGGGCAGATTTAGGGGGTATTCTATGTGTTTTTGGGGTGTTCTGGTGGCTGTGGCCGAGGTTCCCTGTGCCCCCACAGGAGCTGTGCCCGCGCCCGCAGTTCATCGTGGACGGGGCCACGCGCACCGACATCTGCCAGGGGGCTCTGGGTACGGAGCACGGCCCCAAATCCTGTCCCTGTGCCCCAAACCGGGCGGTTCTGGGGCTGCCCCGAGCCCCCCAAACCCCTGCCCTGTCCCCCCCCAGGTGACTGTTGGCTGCTGGCAGCCATCGCCTCCCTGACCCTCAACGAGACCCTCCTGCACCGCGTGGTGCCCCACGGGCAGAGCTTCCAGCAGGGCTACGCCGGCATCTTCCACTTCCAGGTGCGAGACCCCGGCTCCCCCATTTTGGGGGTCTCCTCCCCCTCCTTTTGGCCCCAAAGCAGCCTCTTCCCTCCCAAAACACCCCCTGTGGAGTGACCCCCATCCAGCGCTGCCCTTTCCCTGCTGAGCCGCTCTCACAACCCCCCAACCCCTGTGGGTTTTCCCCCAAACCCCTGTGGGTTTCCCCCAAACCCCTGTGGGTTTCCCCCAAACCCCTGTGGGTTTCCCCCAAACCCCTGTGGGTTTCCCCAAACCCCTGTGGGTTTCCCCCAAACCCCTGTGGGTTTCCCCCAAACCCCTCGTGTTTGCCCCCCAAACCCCTGTGTTTGCCCCCAAACCCCGTGTTTGCCCCCAAACCCCTGTATTTCCTGCCCCAAACCCCTGTCTTTCCCCCAAACCCCTGTCTTTCCCCCAAACCCCTGTCTTTCCCCCAAACCCCTGTCTTTCCCCCAAACCCCTGTCTTTCCCCCAAACCCCTGTGTTTCCCCCAAACCCCTGTCTTTCCCCCAAACCCCTCCCTGGCAGATCTGGCAGTTCGGGGAGTGGCTGGACGTGGTGGTGGACGATTTCCTGCCCCAAACCCCTGTGTTTTCCCCCCAAACCCCCTCCCTGGCAGATCTGGCAGTTTGGGGAGTGGCTGGACGTGGTAGTGGACGATTTCCTGCCCCAAACCCCCGTGTTTTCCCCCCAAACCCCTGTGTTTTCTCCCCAAACCCCTTCCCTGGCAGATCTGGCAGTTTGGGGAGTGGCTGGACGTGGTGGTGGACGATTTCCTGCCCCAAACGCCTGTGTTTTCCCCCAAACCCCTGTGTTTTCCCCCAAACCCCTGTGTTTTCCCCCCAAACCCCCTCCCTGGCAGATCTGGCAGTCTGGGGAGTGGCTGGACGTGGTGGTGGATGATTTCCTGCCCCAAACCCCTATGTTTTTGGCCCCCAAACCCCCTCCCTGGCAGATCTGGCAGTTTGGGGAGTGGCTGGACGTGGTGGTGGACGATTTCCTGCCCACCAAGGACGGCAAGCTGCTCTTTGTGCACTCGGCCGAGGGCTCCGAGTTCTGGAGCGCGCTGCTGGAGAAGGCCTACGCCAAGTAGGAACCCCCCCCTTCCCCCTGGGCCCATTTTTGGGGGTGAAACCCCCTCCAAAACCCCCTCCCCTCGCAGGGTGAACGGCTGCTACGAGGCGCTGTCGGGCGGCAGCACCTCCGAGGGCTTCGAGGACTTCACGGGCGGCGTCACCGAGTGGTTCGACCTCCGGCGGCCGCCGCCAGACCTGTTCTCCATCATCCTGAAGGCGCTGGAGCGCGGCTCCCTGCTGGGCTGCTCCATCGACGTGAGCGCCGGGGAGGGGGTCCCGGTGCTGGGGGGGTGGTCCCAGTGATGGGGGGTGGTCCTGAGTAGCTGAGGGATGGTCCTGGTACCAAGGAGGTGGTCCTGGTGCCAGGGGGATGGTCCCGGTGCCAGGGGGATGGTCCCGATGCTGAGGGGGAGTCCCGGTGCCAGGGGGGGTCCCAGTGCCAGAGGGGTGGTCCTGGTACCAGGGGAGTGGTCCCGGTGCCAGGGGGGGGGTCCTGGTACTGGGGGTGGTGGTCCCGGTGCTGGGAAGGTGGTCCCAGTGCCAGGGGGGTGGTCCTGGTGCTGAGAGGGTGGTCCTGGTGCCAGGGGGTGGTCCTGGTACCAGGGGGATGGTCCTGGTACCAGGGGGGTGGTCCTGGTGCCAGGGGGTGGTCCTGGTTCTGGGGGTGGTCCCGGTGCCAGGGGTGGTCCCAGTGCCAGAGGGGTGGTCCTGGTGCTAAGGGGTGGTCCCGGTGCTGGGGGTGGTCCCGGTGCCAGGGGGGTGGTCCTGGTGCCAGAAGGGTGGTCCCGATGCTGAGGGGGGGTCCTGGTGCCAGGTGGTCCTGGTGCCAGAGGGATGGTCCTGGTGCTGGGAGGGGGGGTCCTGGTGCCAGAGGGGTGGTCTTGGTGTCAGGTGGGTGGTCCCGGTACCAGGGGGTCCTGATGCCAGAGGGTGGTCCCGGTGCTGGGGTGGTCCTGGTGCTGGGGTGGTCCCAGTGCCAGAGGGGTGGTCCTGGTGCCAGGGGGATGGTCCTGGTGCTGGGGTGGGGTCCTGGTACCAGGGGGTGGTCCTGTGGTGCTGGAGGGTAGTCCCGGTGCTGGGGGGTCCTGGTGCTGAGGGTGGTCCCGGTGCTGGGGGGTCCTGGTGCTGGAGGTGGTGGTCCCAGTGCTGGAGGGGGTCCTGGTACCAGAGGGGTGGTCCTGATACTGGGGGGGTTGTCCTGGTATCAGGGGGGTGGTCCCGGTGCCAGGGGGGGTCCTGGTGCCAGGGAGGTCCTGGTGCCAGGGAGGTGGTCCTGGTGCCAGGGGGGTGGTCCTGGTGCCAGAGGGGTGGTCCCAGTGCCAGGGGGTCCTGGTGCCAGGGGGGGTCCCAGTGCCAGGGGGGGTCCTGGTGCCAGGGGGGTGGTCCCGGTACCAGGGGGTGGTCCCGGTACCAGGGGGGTGGTCCTGGTGCCAGGGGGGTGGTCCCAGTACCAGAGGGGTGGTCCCAGTGCCGCGGGGGATGGTCCCAGTGCCAGGGGGGTGGTCCTGGTACCAGGGGGTTCCCGGTGCCAGGGGGATGGTCCTGGTGCCAGAGGGGTGGTCCTGGTACCAGGGGGGTGGTCCCGGTGCCAGGGGGGTGGTCCCGGTGCCAGGGGGATGGTCCTGGTACCAGGGAGGTCCTGGTGCCAGGGGGGTGGTCCCGGTGCCAGAGGGGTGGTCCCGGTGCCAGAGGGGTGGTCCCGGTGCCAGAGGGGTGGTCCTGGTGCCAGGGAGGTCCTGGTGCCAGAGGGGTGGTCCTGGTGCCAGGGGATGGTCCCAGTGCCAGGGGGGTGGTCCTGGTACCAGGGGTTCCTGGTACCAGGGAGATGGTCCCAGTGCCAGGGGGGTGGTCCTGGTGCCAGGGGGGTGGTCCTGGTGCCAGAGGGGTGGTCCTGGTGCCAGAGGGGTGGTCCCGGTGCCAGAGGGGTGGTCCTGGTGCCAGAGGGGTGGTCCTGGTGCCAGAGGGGTGGTCCTGGTGCCAGGGGGATGGTCCTGGTGCCAGAGGGGTGGTCCTGGTGCCAGAGGGGTGGTCCCGGTGCCGGGGGCGTGGTCCCGGTGCTGAGAGGGTGGTCCCGGTGCCAGGGGTGGTCCCAGTACCAGGGTGGGGTCCCAGTGCCAGGGGTGGTCCCGGTGCCAGAGGGGTGGTCCCAGTGCCGGGGGGGTCCCGGTGCCAGGGGTGGGGTCCCGGTACCAGGGGTGGTCCCGATGCTGAGGGGGGGTCCTGGTGCCAGGGAGGTCCTGGTGCCAGGTGGGTGGTCCCGGTGCCAGGGGGATGGTCCTGGTGCCAGGGGGGTCCTGGTGCCAGGGGGTGGTCCCAGTACCGGGGGCGTGGTCCCGGTGCTGAGAGGGTGGTCCCAGTGCCAGGGGGGGGTCCCGGTGCCAGGGGGTGGTCCCGGTGCCGCGGCTGACGCGGCGTCCCCTCGTGTGTCCCCCCCGCCCCCCAGATCACCAGCGCCTTCGACATGGAGGCCGTCACCTTCAAGAAGCTGGTCAAGGGCCACGCCTACTCGCTCACCGGCGCCAAGCAGGTCTGGGGGGGGAAATTGGGGTGGGAAACGGCGCTTTTGGGGTCGCACGGCCCTGATGGCCCCAGTTTGGGGTGGGAAACGGCGCTTTTGGGGTCGCACGGCCCTGATGGCCCCAGTTTGGGGTGGGAAACGGCGCCTTTTGGGTTGTACGGCCTCGATCTGATGGCAGCAGCAGTTTGGGGTGGGAACGTGGGTTTTTGGGGTTGTACGGCCTCGATCTGATGGCAGCAGCAGTTTGCGGTGGGAACGTGGGTTTTTGGGGTTGTAGAGGCCTCGATGTTCTGGTTCCCGTTTTGGGGTGAAAATGGTGGATTTTGGCTCTCAGGGCGCCAGTTTTTGGGGTGCAAACTTTTTAGGTGTGTCTTTGTGCCCCCCCAACAGATCAACTACCGGGGGCAGTCGCTGGGCCTGGTGCGGATGCGGAACCCCTGGGGGGAGGTGGAGTGGACGGGGCCCTGGAGCGACAGGTGAGGCCTCGGGGCTCGTTAGCGCTGCCTCGTTAATGAGAGGTGGCCCTGGGCTCCTGCCTGGTTAATGAGGGCTGGCCCTGGGTTCCTGCCTCGTTAATGAGGGCTGGCCCTGGGCTCCTGCCTGGTTAATGAGGGCTGGCCCTGGGTTCCTGCCTCGTTAATGAGGGCTGGCCCTGGGCTCCTGCCTGGTTAATGAGGGCTGGCCCTGGGCTCCTGCCTGGTTAGTGAGGGCTGGCCCTGGGCTCTGCCTCGCACTGAGGGCTGGCCTGGGCCCTGCCTCGTTAATGAGGGCTGGCCCTGGGCTCCTGCCTGGTTAATGAGGGCTGGCCCTGGGCTCCTGCCTCGTTAATGAGGGCTGGCCCTGGGCTCCTGCCTGGTTAGTGAGGGCTGGCCCTGGGCTCCTGCCTCGTTAATGAGGACTGGCCCTGGGCTCCTGCCTGGTTAGTGAGGGCTGGCCCTGGGCTCCTACCTCGTTAGAGGCTGGCCTGGCTCCTGCCTGGTTATGAGGGCTGGCCCTGCCTCCTGGGCTGCCTGTCCTGCCTGGTTAGTGAGGGCTGGCCCTGGGCTCCTGCCTCGTTAGCGCTGCCTAACGAGCCTGGCCCTGTGCCCCATCCCGCAGCTCGCCCGAGTGGCACGCGGTGGAGCCGGCGCTGCGGCAGCAGCTCATGGTCAAGATGGAGGACGGGGAGTTCTGGTGAGGGGAGCGGGAGCGGAACCCACCCCCTGTCCCTCCTCCAATTTCCCCTTTGCACCCAGAAATGAGGGGACAACTCCTCTTCACCCCCCCCCCAACCCCCCAGGATGTCCTTCCGGGACTTCCTGCGGGAGTTCACCCGCCTGGAGATCTGCAACCTGACGCCGGACGCGCTGCAGGCGCGCCGCTTCCGTGCCTGGAACACGCGGCTCTACGACGGCACGTGGCGGCGCGGCAGCACCGCCGGCGGCTGCAGGAACTACCCCGGTGAGCCCCCGCTGGGGGGACGGGAGCCCCCTGCCCCGCGCCCGCTGAGCCCGGCCCGCCCTGCCCTCCCCTCCCGCAGCCACCTTCTGGATCAACCCCCAGTTCAAGATCCAGCTGGAGGAGGTGGATGATGAGGATGATGAGGACGGCGGGCGCGAGCCGGGCTGCAGCTTCCTGCTGGCGCTGATGCAGAAGGACCGGCGCCGCCAGCGCCGCTACGGCAAGGACATGGAGACCATCGGCTTCGCCGTCTACGAGGTGATGGTGCCAGCGGGGTCAGCTGAGGGCAGGGAGCGCCAGCTGGGGACAGTTGGGGTCAGCTGGGCTCAACTGGGGTCAACTGGGGTGAATCGGTGTCAGCTGGGGACAGTTGGAGTCAGCTGGGCTCAACTGGGGTCAATTGGGGTGAATCGGTGTCAACTGGGGACAGCTGGAGTCAACTGGCATTAACTGGGGTCAGCTGGGGTCCATTTGGGTCTGCTGTTGTCAACTGGCGTTGGTTGGGGTCAGCTGGGGTCAACTGGTGTCATTTGGAGCCAATTGGTGTCAACTGGTGTCAAGCAGCGTCAGTTGGAGCCAACTGGTGGCACCCAGCGTCTGCTGTGGTCAAATGGGGTCACTGGGTGTCAGCTGGAGCCAGCTGGTGTCAGCTGGTGCCAACTGGGGCCAGTTGGATCCCATTGGGGTCAGCTGGGGCTGGTTGGGGTCAGTTGGATCCCACTGGTGCCAGCTGGGGCTGGTTGGGGTCAGTTGGATCCCACTGGTGCCAGCTGGGGCTGGTTGGGGTCAGTTGGATCCCACTGGTGCCAGCTGGGGCTGGTTGGTGCCAGCTGGGGCTGGTTGGGGTCAGTTGGATCCCACTGGTGCCAGCTGGGGCCCACTGGTGCCAGCTGGGGCTGGTTGGGGTCAGCTGGGGCCGGTTGGGGTCAGCTGGGGCTGGTTGGGGTCAGCTGGAGCCAACTGGTGTCCGCTGGGGCCCATTGGTGTCCGCTGGTGCCGGTTGGTGCCAGCTGTGACCGGCTGGTGCCAGCGTGACCATTGCAGTGACCCGCTGTGTGTGTGTTGTGCCCGCAGGTCCCTCCCGAGGTGGGTACGAGGTGCTGGGGGCTGCCCCATGGGGTGACACGGCCCGTGTGTGTCCCCCAAAATGGGGTGTGACACGGCCCATGTGTGCCCCCCAAAATGGGGGGTGACACGGCCCATGTGCCCCCAAAATGGGGTGTGACACAGCCCCTGTGTGTGCCCCCCACACCGAGGGGTGACACGGCCCATGTGCCCCCAAACTGGGGGTGACACAGCCCCTGTGTGTGCCCCCCACACCGAGGGGTGACGGCCCACGCGTCCCCCCCGTCCCCGCAGCACGTGGGGCAGTCGGGGGTGCACCTGAAGCGCGAGTTCTTCCTGGCCCACGCGTCGCGCGCGCGCTCGGAGCAGTTCATCAACCTGCGCGAGGTGAGCACGCGCCTGCGCCTCCCGCCCGGGGAGTACATCGTGGTGCCCTCCACCTTCGAGCCCAACCGCGAGGGGGACTTCGTGCTCCGCTTCTTCTCCGAGAAGAAGGCTGGGACCGAGTAAGGCTGAGCCCAAACCTGAGCCTGACCCCAATACCGACCCTAATACCAACCCTGACCCTGACCCTAATACCGAGCCTAACTTCGTGCTCCGCTTCTTCTCCGAGAAGAAGGCTGGAACCGAGTAAGGCTGAGCCTGACCCCAACCCTGACCCTAACCCTGACCCCAATACCGACCCTGACCCTAATACCGAGCCTAACTTCGTGCTCCGCTTCTTCTCCGAGAAGAAGGCTGGAACCGAGTAAGGCTGAGCCTGACCCTGAGCCTGACCCTAATAATGAGCCTATCCCTGACCCTAATACCGACCCTGACCCCAATACCGACCCTACCCCTGACCCTAATAACGACCCTGACCCTAATACTGAGCCTAATTTCGTACTCCGCTTCTTCTCTGAGAAGAAGGCTGGCACTGAGTAAGGCTGAGCCCAACCCTGAGCCTGACCCCAACCCTGACTCTAATAACGACCCTGAGCCTGACTCTGACCCTAATACCGACCCTAATAACGACCCTGACCCTAATACTGAGCCTAATTTCGTACTCCGCTTCTTCCCCGAGAAGAAGGCTGGCACTGAGTAAGGCTGAGCCCAACCCTGACCCTGAGCCTAATACCGACCCTAACCCTAATCCCAACCCTAACCCTGACCCTAGCCTTGACCCCGACCCTGACCCTAATCCTAACCCTAACTCTTACGCCTGAGACTAATCCTAAACTGTGACCCTAAATCCTGACCCTGACCCCAACCTTAACCCTGACCTTAGCCCTAACCCTAAACTGTGACCCTAAATCCTTAGCCTGACCTTAACCCTAAACCCTAACCCTGAATCCTAAGCCTGACCCTAGCCCTGAACCATGACCCTAAATCCTGACCCTGACCCCAACCTTAACCCTGACCTTAGCCCTAACCCTAAACTGTGACCCTAAATCCTTAGCCTGACCCCAACCCTAAACCCTAACCCTGAAACCTACGCCTGACCCTAGCCCTGAACCACAACCCTAAATCCTGCACCTGACCCTAACCTTGACCTGTGACCCTAAATCCTGAGCCTGACCCTAAATCCTGAGCCTGACCCTAACCCACCCCTTCTCTCTTCTCTCCACAGGGAGATGGACGACAAGGTCCAGGCCACACTCCCAGATGAGGTGGGTGGGGGTGACCCTGGGGGTGACCCCGGGGGTGACCCTGGGGGGTGACCCGGGGGGTGACCCTGGAGGTGACCCTGGGGGTGACCCTGGAGGTGACCCAGGGGGTGACCCTGGGGGTGACCCAGGGGGTGACCCTGGAGGTGACCCTGGAGGTGACCCTGGAGGTGACCCCGGGGGGTGACCCTGGAGGTGACCCGGGGTGACCGCAGGGGGTGACCCTGGGGGGTGACCCAGGGGGTGACCCTGGAGGTGACCCAGGGGGTGACCCCAGGGGGTGACCCCGGGGCAATGCTCTGTACCCAAAATGTCCACTTTTCCCCCCAGAAAGTGCTGTCGGAGAGCGAGATCGACGAGAACTTCAAGCAGCTCTTCAGGCAGCTGGCGGGGCCGGTAAGGGCGGAGGGGGACGCGGTGCTGGTGGCACCGATGGCTGGCCCTGACCTGGGTGGTGGCAGTGACGTCATTGTCCTGGGGATGATGTCATTGTTCTGGGGTGACGTCATGGTTTGGGGATGACTTCATTGATCTGGGATGACGTCGTTGTTCTGGGGTGACGTCACTGTTCCTGGGATGATGTCGTTGTTCTGTGGTGACATCATTGCTCTGCGGATGACGTCACTGGTTAACAACGACGTCACTGCGTGGTAGCGACGCCGTTGGTTTGCAATGATGTCATTTGCGGTGACGTCATTGGTCGTTTGAGATGACATCATTGGTTTGAGATGACATCAGTGGTTTGAGATGACGTCACTGGTTTGAGATGACATCATTGGTTTGAGATGACATCAGTGGTTGGCAATGACATCAATGGGTGGTGATGACGTCACTGAGTGGCGCTGACGTCACTGGGAGGCGATGACATCACTGGGAGGCGATGACGTCACCGTCCCCTGGTGCCACCCCCTTTGTCCCCGCCCCAGGACATGGAGATCAGCGTCACGGAGCTGCAGACCATCCTCAACCGCATCATCGCCAAACGTGAGCCCCAATTAACCCCAATTAACCCCAATGAACCCCGGTGTACCCCCAATTAACCCCAATTAACGCCCCCCTCGTTAACGCCCCCCTGCAGACAAAGACCTGCGCACCAAGGGCTTCAGCCGCGAGTCGTGCCGGAGCATGGTCAACCTCATGGACGTATCCTCTGCCTGGGGGTGCTGGAGGGGGTTTGGGGGGACCCCCCAGAGCCCCCCCCCCGTTTTCCTTAAATCCCCTCCCCCCAGAAAGACGGGAACGGGAAACTGGGGCTGGTGGAGTTCAACGTGCTCTGGAACCGCATCCGCAACTACCTGGTGGGGCTTTGAGGTCTGTCTGGGGGGAGACCCTTGGGGGCTTTGGGGTCTGGCCTGGGGGAGACCCTTTGGGGGTTTGGGGTCTGCCTGGGGGGAGACCCCTTTGGGGGCTTTGGGGTCTGCCTGGGGGAGGCCCCTTTGGGGGCTTTGGGGGTCTGCCTGTTGGGGGGAGACCCTTTGGGGGTTTGGGGTCTGTCTGGGGGAGACCCCTTTGGGGGTTTGGGGTCTGTCTGGGGGAGACCCTTTGGGGGTTTGGGGTCTGCCTGGGGGAGACCCCTTTGGGGGTTTGGGGTCTGTCTGGGGCGGGGAGACCCTTTGGGGGTTTGGGGTCTGTCTGGGGGGAGACCCTTTTGGGGCTTCTGGAGGTGACCCTTTGGGGGTTTGGGTCTGTCTGGGAGAGACCCTTTGGGGCTTGGGTCTGTCTGGGAGACCCTTTGGGGGTTTGGGTCTCTCGGGGGTGACCTCTTTTGGGGAGTTTGGGGTCTGTCTGGGGGAGACCCCTTTGGGGGTTTAGGGGTCTGTCTGGGGCGGGGAGACCCCTTTGGGGGGTTTGGGGTCTGTCTGGGAGGGGAGACCCTTTGGGGATTTGGGGTCTGTCTGGGCGGGGAGACCCCTTTGGGGGTTTGGGGTCTGTCTGGGGCGGGGGAGACCCCTTTGGGGGGTTTGGGGTCTCTCTTCGGGGGTGACCCCTCTTTTTGGGGGGTTTAGGGACTGTCTGGGGAGGGGGTGACCTCTTTGGGGGGTTTGGGATCTCTCTTCAGGGTGACCCCCCTTTTTGGGGGGCATTGGGGTCTGTCTTTGGGGGTGACCCCCCTTTTTGGGGGGCATTGGGATCTCTTTCCTCATGAGTGACCCCCTTTTTTTCCTGGGGGGCGTTGGGGTCTCTCTCCTCGTGAGTGACCCCTTTTTGGGGGGTGTTGGGGTCTCTCTCCTTGTGAGTGACCCCCTTTTCCTGGGGGGGTTTGGGGTCTCTCTCCTCGTGAGTGACCCCATTTTTCCTGGGTGGTTTGGGGTCTCCTTGTGAGTGACCCCCTTTTCCTGGGGGGTTGATTTTGGGGTCCCATTGAGGGCTGTTTTGGGGTCTCTCCTCTTCTGATCAGCCCCTCTTTTTTTCTCTTTGGGGGGGTAGGTTTGGGGGTACAACGGGGTGACTTTGGGGGTTCACTGGGGGCTGTTTGGGGGCCTCTCCTCCTGCCTGACCCCTCTGTTTTTTTTTTGGGGTGGGGGTCTTTTTTGGCCAGACCATCTTCCGCAAGTTCGACCTGGACAAGTCGGGCTCCATCAGCGCCTACGAGCTGCGCCTGGCGCTGGAGGCCGCAGGTGACACCCCGGGGACACCCCCAGGGGGGGTCTGAGCCCCCAGGGACCCCCAGCTGACCCCAGGGGGTGTGTGACCCCCAGGGTACCGCCTGAACAAGCGGCTGCACGAGCTGCTCATCACCCGCTACGCCGAGCCCGACCTGGCCCTCGACTTCGACAGCTTCGTCTGCTGCCTCGTGCGCCTCGAGACCATGTTCAGTGAGTGCCCCTCCTGCGGCCCCCGGGCCTTCCCAGCCCCTCCTGCAGCCCCCAGGGCTTCCCAGCCCCTCCTGCAGCCCAGGGAATCACGGGAATCCCGGCCCCAAAAACGGGAAGGGGTGGGGGGTGACCCCGCCCTGGGCACCGAATTCGGGGCAGCGGCTGCGGGAGGTGAGACCGGACGGGGGGAGAGGGGGGGAAAAGGCAACAGGGGGAGAGGGGAAAAGGGGGAAAAGCCAAGAAGGAGTTGAGGAGGGAGAGGGAGGGGAAAGGGAGTGGGGAAAAGGCGAAAAGCCAGGGGAGAGGGGAAAGGTGGGAGAAGGGAACAGGAGTCAAGGAGAGAGGTGGGAAAAGCCAAGAGGAGTCGAGGGGAGAGGGGGGAAAGCCAAGAGGAGTCGAGGGGAGAGGGGGGAAAAGGCAAGAGGAGTCGAGGGGAGAGGGGGGAAGCTAAGAGGAGTCGAGGGGAGAGGGGAAAAGGCAACAGGAGTTGAGAGGAGAGGGGGGAAAAGGCAACAGAACTGAGGGTAAAATGGGAAGAGCCAAGAGGAGTTGAGGGGAAAGATGAGGGAAAAAAGGTGGGAAAGGGCGGACGGGAGCTGAGGAAAAAGTTGGGAAGGGCCAATCTTAGTTGAGGGAAACGGTGGGAAGAGCTGGGGCAAAAGCAACGGAGCTGAGAGGGGGAAGTTGGAAAAAGCCCAGGGGGAGTTGAGGAGGAAGATGGACAAAGGTGGGAAAAGCCAACAGGAATTGAGGGGAAAGGTGGGAAAATCCCTTCTCATTTTTCCAGGTTCCCCCTTTCACTTCTATTTGTTCCCCCACTTTTCCGCCTCCATAGTCCCTCCCTTCCCTGATTTCCCCCCTAAATCTTGCCCTGTTTTTTTCCAGCTTCTGCCTTTTAAGAAGTCCTCCCTTGTTTTCCCCTTTTTCCCCCGTTTTTCCCCTCAAATCCCTTTCGTGTCCCCCCAGGGTTTTTCCAGGCCATGGATGTGGACCAGGATGGCGTCGTCACCTTTGACCTGCTGCAGGTATGGGAGGGCACAGGCCTTCCTCACCCCCTTCCTCCTCCTCCTCTCTCCCTCCTCTCCTTCCTCATCCTCTTCTGCTCTTCCTCTCCCTTCCTCACCCCCTTCCTCCTCCTCCTCCCTCCCTCCTCTCCTTCCTCATCCTCTTCTGCTCTTCCTCTCCCTTCCTCACCCCCTTCCTCCTCCTCCTCCCTCCCTCCTCTCCTTCCTCATCCTCTTCTGCTCTTCCTTCCTCACCCCCTTCCTCCTCCTCCTTCCTCCCTCCTCTCCTTCCTCATCCTCTTCTGCTCTTCCTCTCCCTTCCTCACCCCCTTCCTCACCCCCTTCCTCCTCCTCCTCCCTCCCTCCTCTCCTTCCTCATCCTCTTCTGCTCTTCCTTTTCCTTCCTCACCCCTTCCTCCTCCTCCTCCCTCCCTCCTCCTCCTTCCCTCACCCCCTTCCTCCTCCTCCCTCCCTCCTCTCCTTCCTCATCCTCTTCTGCTCTCCCTTCCTCACTCCCTTCCTCCTCCTCTCCTTCCTCATCCTCTTCTGCTCTTCCTCTCCCTTCCTCACCCCCTTCCTCACCCCCTTCCTCCTCCTCTCCTCTCTCCCTCCTCTCCTTCCTCATCCTGTTCTGTTCTTCCTCTCACTTCCTCACCCTCTTCCTCCTCCTCCCTCCCTCCTCTCCTTCCTCACCCCCTTCCTCCTCTCTCTCTCCTCTCCTTCCTCATCCTCTTCTGCTCTCCCTTCCTCCCCCCATGTTCCTTCTCCTCTTCCTCTTCCCACACTCACCCCATACCTCCTTCTCCTCCTGCACCTTCCTGCCCTCCTCCTCCTCACCCCACACTTGTCTCACCTCCTCCTCCTTCCTCCCACATCTTCCTCTCCCTCCCACTCCTTCCTCCACCTTCTCCTCCTCTTCCTCCCCCTCCTCCTCCTCCTCTTCCTCCCCCTCCTCCCCTCCTGCTCCCCGTGCCCTTCCTCCCCTCACCCTCCTCGTCTTCCTCCCCCTCCTCCCTGCTGCTCCCCCTGTCCTTCCTCCCCTCACCCTTGTCCTCCTCCTCTTCCTCCCCCTCCTCCCCTCCTGCTCCCCCTGCCCTTCCTCCCCTCACCCTCTTCCTCTTCCTCCCCTCCTCCTCCTCCTGCTCCCCTGCCCTTCCTCCCCTCACCCTCCTCCTCCTCCCCCTCCTCCTCTCCTGCTCCCCCTGCCCTTCCTCCCCTCACCCTCCTCCTCCTCCTCTTCCTCCCTCTCCTCCTGCTCCCCCTGCCCTTCCTCCCCTCACCCTCCTCCTCCTCGCGGTGCCCCCGCAGTGGCTCCAGCTCACCATGTTCGCCTGAGGACCCCCCGAGTGCCTTCCAGGACCCCGCGCCCGTTTCTCCCCTTTTTTGGCTTTTTTTTTTCCAGCACAAAGGCTCAGGAGGGTGGGGGTGGCGGGAGTCACACGGACCCCCCGTGTGCTTTGCCAAAGCCCCCATCCTCTCCTCATTGGGGAGGGGTCACACGGACCCCCTGTGCTTTGCCAAAGCCCCCCCATCCCTCCCCTCATTGGGGAGGGGTCACACTGGACCCCCCCCCTGTGCTTTGCCAAAGCCCCCCCTTCACCGTGTCCCCCCCAGCTGGGCTCGTTTTGGGGCAAATCCTCCCGATTTCGGTGCCTCTCTCGTCCCGAAGGAGCCCTGGGGGGTGAGGGGGGGGGAATCTTTCGCTTCAGGGATTTGCTGCCCCCCCCCCGGGTGCCAACGGTGGTTTTTTATTGTGTAAATTAAAAACAGGGTAAAAAAAAAAATGTTATTTAAGTCAAAATTCCTTTTTCTGGCAGTTTTTTGCCTCCCCTCGGGGGGGGCCGTAAATCACCTTTGGGGTTTTGGGGCCGTAAATCACATTTGGGGTTAGATGTGTAGATATTGGGGTTAAAGACGGGTATTTTGGGGTTAGAGGTGTGGGGCTAAACATACACGTTTTGGGCTTAGAAATACACATTTGGGGCTACAGGTTTTGTATTTGGGGTTTTATGGATGAGGGGTCTGGGGGTATGAGTGCACATGTTTGGGTTACAGGTAAATATTTGGGGTTGTATTTATGTGTTTTGGGGTTTTCTGGGTGACGTTCCCAGACTGGGCTCGGCCCCCCAGACCTGGGATGGCCCCCCCAGACCGGGATCGATGCCCCCACAACCAGAACGACCCCCCCAGACCTGGGATGGCCCCCCCAGACCTGGGACAGCCCCCCCAGACCGGGATCGATGCCCCCACAACCAGAACGACCCCCCAGGCCTGGGACGGCCCCCCCAGACCGGGATCGATGCCCCCACAACCAGAACGACCCCCCAGTCGATCCCCCCAGACCGACCTTGACCCCCCCCAGAGCTGGGGTCAGGGTCACCCTGGTGCCCCCTCAGCTCTCCCCCAGACCCGGTGGGACCCCAGACCCGAGTGGGACCCCCAGACCTAGGTGGGACCCCAGACCTGGTGGGACCCCCAGACCCAGGTGGGTTCCCCAGACCCAGGTGGGACCCCCAGACCCAGAATGACCTCCCAGACCCAGGTGGGTCCCCAGAGCCGGGGGTGCCCCAGACCCGGGTGTCCCCCAGACCCAGGTGGGACCCCCCAGACCCAGAATGACCTCCCAGACCCAGGTGGGTTCCCCCAGATCTGGTTGGGTCCCCCCAGAGCCAGGTGGGTCCCCCAGACCCGGTGGGACCCCCCAGACCCAGAATGACCCCCAGACCGGGATCGGGGTCGCTCCAGACCCAGAATGACCCCCCAGATCCGAGTGGGTTCCCCCGGACCCGGGTGGGACCCCCAGACCGGGATCGGGGTCGCTCCAGACCCAGAATGACCTCCAGACCCGGAATGACCCCCAGACCTGGGTGGGTCCCCCAGATCCGAGTGGGTTCCCCCAGACCCGGAATGACCCCCCAGACCCGGGTGGGACCCCCAGGCCGGGGTCGGGGTCGCTCCAGACCCAGAATGACCCCCCAGACCCAGAATGACCCCCCAGATCCGAGTGGGTTCCCCCAGACCCAGGTGGGACCCCCAGATCTGGGTCGGGAGGTCGCTCCCCTCACTCCTTCCCCGCGCTCTGAGGGCGCGAAACTTCCCGCCTTTTTCCCTCCCGCCCCGAGTGGGCGGAGCCGGTGAACGGCGGCCACGCCCTTTCCCCCGCCCTTCCCGCTCCCATTGGCTCGTTGTCTCCGAATTTGCATGGGCACGCCCCTTTCTCCCCTCCGCCACGCCCCTTTGCCCTTATAAGGCGCGGCCACGCCCCCGTCCCCTCACGGCCCCGGCTCCCCTCACGAGTCCCGCCCGCGGCCCCGGCGCGGCCATGGCGGGGACGGAGCCGGGGATGGAGCCGGAGAAGGAACCGGTGACGGCCGAGGCGGTGCTGAGGGAGCTGCGGCTCTTCGAGCTGCACTGCCAGGGCGAGGACGTTCCCGACAGGCGTGAGGGCTCCGTGGAGCGCGGCCTGGGGGAATGGGCGGGGTTATTGAGGGGCTGGGGCTGTGTGAGGGGTTATTGGGGGCCTGGGGGTGTCGGGAGGTGTGAGGGGTTATCGAGGGGGAGTTTTATTGGGCTGGGGTGCCATGAAAGGGCTGTTGGGGTTCTGGGGTCAGGAGGTGTTTAGAGGTTCTTGGGGGTCTGGGGGCGTCGGGGGAGATTCGGGGGGTTACTGAGGGGCTGGGGGAGAGGGAAGGGGTTATTGGGGTGCTGAGGATGTCATGAAGGGTTTGGGGAGAGGGAGGGGGTTATTGGGGTGCTGAGGATGTCATGAAGGGGTTTGGGGGGGTCTCAGGTGTTTGTGGGGTCACAGGGGCTGTTCTGGGGTTTTGAGGGTCCAGTGGAACAGGGGGTCCCAGGAGGTGTCAGGGGGGCTGTCTCGGTGGGGGTTTTGGGGTCCCAGGAGGCTGTCTGGGGGTGTCTCAGGGGGTCTTAGGGGTGTCTCAGTGGAACAGGGGGTCCCAGGAGCTGTCGGGGCTGCTCTGGGGTTTGGGGGTCCAGTGGAACAGGGGGTCCCAGGAGGTGTCAGGGTGTCTGGTGGGGTTCCAGTGGAACAGGGGGTCCCAGGAGCTGTCGGGGGTGTCTCGGTGGGGTTTGGGGTCCCAGGAGGTGTCAGGGGAGTGTCTCGGTGGGGTTTTGGGGTCCAGTGG